AGCCAATCAGAAAAAAGTTTCTTATATAAGGAACCCAGCAAATTGCATCGAGTCACTGACTAGTGTCAGTGACTTTACAGCAATCCTCATACTAAGCAAGCATGCAGTGACAGTGGAGAGGAAAACTTCCTTTAAACAGGAAGAAACCTCCAGAGAATCCTGACTCAGTATAAGCACACACACACACACACACACACACACACACACACACACACACACACACACACACACACACACACACACACACACACACACACACACACACACACACACACACACACACACCACACACACACACAAGTAATGTGTCTATGGTTACATTGTGATTTCTTAGTAAATATTTGGTGAGAGATAAACTTCATTGTATTTATCCTAGTGAATCTATAATTAAATGAGTAAATTAGTAGTGGCACATTCAATTTCAAGGAAAGTAAAATGTTATCAGGAGAGGGAGAATGATTGAATTGTTAGCAACATTGTTCAAGACGATGGCCCCCTCCATGAGGCCACCACAGCTCAGCAGAACATCATTGAAGCTTCTTCTGGGGAGAAAAACACTTTAAATAAAATAAAGTTAACAGCTGAAATTGCAGAAAATAATAGTTAAAGAGCAGATTGTAGAAGAAAGTAGTAGAGTGTGGAAAAGTGGTCAGTGTGTCCTCCAGCAGTCTAAGCCTATAGCAGCATAACTACAGAGATAACTCTGGATAACCTAGCCTTTTAGATGGAGGCATGTTGGAGGCAGGGCAAGGGAGAGCCGTCTTTACCGACTGTACACTCAACCTCCCTGTACTCCCCCACTTGTCCAGATATAGGCTAACATCAGATTTTAACCATAAGCCCTATCAAATAAAAATGTTTTAAGCCTATTCTTAAAAGTAGACAAGGTGTCTGCCTCACGGACTAAAGCTGGGACTTGGTTCCACAAGAGAGGAGCCTGATAACTAAAAGATCTGCCTCCCATCCTATTTTTAGATATTCTGGGAACCACCAGTAAACCTGCAGTCTGAGAGCGAAGTGTTTGGTTAGGAACGTATGGAGCAATCTGATCACTGATGCAAGATGGAGCTTGATTATTAAGAGCTTTATATGTGAGAAGAAGGATCTTAAAATCTATTCTGAATTTAACAGGTAGCCAATGTAGGGAAGCTAAGACAGGAGAGATATGATCTCTCTTTTTAATTCTCATCAGAACTCTAGCCCCAGCATTTTAGATGAGCTGAAGACTTTTAACTACATTCTGTGGACTTCCTGAGAGTAATGAATTGCAATAATCCAGTCTTGATGTAATAAATGCATGAACTAGTTTTTAAGCATCATTCCTGGAAAGGATGCATCTTATCTTAGCAATATTCCGAAGGTGGAAAAAGGAAATCCTACGAACCTGTTTAACGTGTGATTTGAATGGCATGTCCTGGTCGACGAAAACACCAAGGTTCCTTACTTTGTTCTCGGAGACTAATTTAATGGCGTTCAGGTCAGGTGATTGACTAAGCTATTTCCTTTTCTCAATTTCAGGTCCAATTAGGGTTGTCACAGTGAGAAAATGTAACCTCACGGTTATTGTGACCAAAATTATCACGGTTTTCGTTAATTTAGCAATATTTACATTTTCAGACAACTAAATAAACCCTCTATATCAGGAAAATAGTGTCCTCAGTTTGTGTCTAAATTTTGCCTAAAATTTGTTATTTTGTGATTATGTTGTTTATTTGTTTACATTTTTCCCCTAGAATCCAAAAAATACCAATATTTGCCCATAACTTCTTATTTTTTATCTGTTTGATGTCATCATTTAAAAAATATTAGATCAGTTGATACTCAGTACTCAAGTAGCCTTCTAATCAGATACTTGTTTTTTTTTTTTACCCTTACTTGAGTAATAAACCCTATATCAGGAAAATATTGTCCTGTTTGTGTCCTTCCAGTGAGCTTTGCAGATTTGGGAAAATGTCGTCAGGCAGTAATCATTGTTAAATTCATAATTATTCTCGAAGAGAGATCAACTCTTATCTGCCCCTGGGAGCCCCGTAATGCATAGTAATATGGGGGTGTCTGCGACACGGTTTATATGTAGGTAGCGGCTGCTTTATATAGCGACTCGTTGCATTCTGCCTCAACCCAAATCCTCAGATCACACAATTTAGCTAAAACGCTAATGTTAGCTTGCCTTGCGTTGACTGTAGAGTTGTGTGTGATGGTCACGCAGATGTGTCATGAGATTTGAAGCATTGCTGCCTTTCACAGACACTTTTTCTGCATGTGCTGCAAACAGGATAGCTGTCTTCTATCAACTGTCCCTCGGCATTCTTCAAATATCCAAAAAAACGCCCATATTTTCGACTTTGTCTTCTTTGGAGGATAATCAATGTCTTGAGCGCTGCTGTCTCCTCCTTTGGCCATTATTTCAGCTTTAGCTTCAAGAAAATTTTGGTTGTAAACAACAAAGTGAGCATGTGCCGCTGGCAACTTCAGCAGATGATACGGTGGCTGGTAAGGGTCACCGCCCCTACACCGCAGCCATGGTAATCCAGCGAGATAATATATATTTTTAAAAAACAAGACGGTTATTATAGTCAACTATTTTACCGGGGTTCAACGCTACACTGGTTACAGTGACAACCCTAGGTCCAATGATGAGAACATCAGTCTTGTCTTGATTTAAAAGCAAAAAGTTTTGAGTCATATGTATGTATATATATATGTGTATATATATGTGTATATATATATGTGTGTATATATATGTGTATATATATATGTGTATATATATATGTGTATATATATATGTGTATATATATATGTGTATATATATATGTGTATATATATATATATGTATATATATGTATATATATGTATATATATGTGTATATATATATATATATGTATATATATGTGTATATATATATATGTATATATATGTATATATATATATATATATATGTATATATAATCAGAGGGGCAAAAAAGTATTTAGTCAGCCACCGATTGTGCAAGTTCTCCCACTTAAAATGATGACAGAGGTCAGTAATTTACATCATAGGTACACTTCAACTGTGAGAGATAGAATGTGAAAAAAAATCCATGAATTCACATGGCAGGATTTTTAAAGAATTTATTTGTAAATCAGGGTGGAAAATAAGTATTTGGTCAATAACAAAAATTCAATTCAATACTTTGTAACATAACCTGTGTTGGCAATAACAGAGGTCAAACGATTACTATAGGTCTTTACCAGGTTTGCGCACACAGTAGCTGGTATTTTGGCCCATTCCTCCATGCAGATCTTCTCGAGAGCAGTGATGTTTTGGGGCTGTCGCCGAGCAACACAGACTTTCAACTCCCTCCACAGATTTTCTATGTAGTTGATGTCTGGAGACTGGCTAGGCCACTCCAGGACTTTCAAATGCTTCTTACGGAGCCACTCCTTTGTTGCCCAGGCGGTGTGTTTGGGGTCATTGTCGTGTTGGAAGACCCAGCCACGTTTCATCTTCAAAGCTCTCACTGATGGAAGGAGGTTTTGGCTCAGAATCTCGCGATACATGGCCCCTTTCATTCTGTCCTCAACACGGATCAGTCGTCCTGTCCCCTTAGCAGAAAAACAGCCCCAAAGCATGATGTTCCCACCCCCATGCTTCACAGTAGGTATGGTGTTCTTGGGATGCAACTCAGTATTCTTCTTCCTCCAAACACGACGAGTTGAGTTTATACCAAAAAGTTCTACTTTGGGTTCATCTGACCACATGACATTCTCCCAATCCTCTGCTGTGTCATCCATGTGCTCTCTGGCAAACTTCAGACGGGCCTGGACATGCACTGGCTTCAGCAGCGGAACACGTCTGGCACTGCAGGATTTGATTCCCTGCCATTGTAGTGTGTTACTGATGGTGACCTTATGGTGCTGCAAGCCTGACTCTGGGTTGCAATCTTGCCTTCATGATATTATCTTCTTGCTCCATTAAGTGCATTTTCTCAGTGTCCTCATAGCTGCGTAGTTTAGTTTTGAAAATCAGCTAACTTTATTTCTGATTCACTCTGTGTGAAGTGAACAGAAAAAGGTTTGAAAGTGTCTGGTAAACCCTTTAACACCATTGCTACCAGCAGACCATCACCAAGTGCCTCTCCGGGCTGTAATAAGAGTCTCTGCCTGTATGACGTAATCTGTCACACTCTCACTGCTTGTTTTCTTCAGAGAATTCAGTTCAGTAATTCTTAGTGTACTTTTTCCCGCATAGTAGTTTCTCAGTATCCTCAATGTTTCACGCCCATCGTCGGCAGCATCTCTCATCACGAGTAATGGACTCTTATCATCCATGAACTGTATTAATTCAGCATAGGCCTGGGCATTCTTGTCTTCATCCTCATCATCTCCCTCAGTAATGTCCAATATTGTGTCCTTAAGACCTTGTAGTCGAAGATGTCCTTAGAATTTTGTATCCCATAGCTCATAATTGTTCTCGTCTCCATCAAAAACCAGTCTCGCACATCGGCTGTTCGTCTCCACTTCACGCTTGCTCATTATGCTATCTTAGCATGCTAGTCCTCACCACACCAAACACGCTGTACTTCGCGACTTTCCTGGTGGCGGTGGGGTCCTCTTAAGTCAGTTCAGACATTCGCAGGGCCCATAACCTGTTAGCAGAGACGTGTCTTCAGCCGAATCTGCATGTATATACCGAAGCAACTATGTCAGAGGGACAAACACTCAGGAGACATCAGTTTACTTCCTGGGAATCTCATAAATGTGATTTCCTCTCCCTTTTAATATAGTCTCACATAAACATGCAGAAAAAAAACACAGAACAGGAAGTACCCCTACAAAATAAAACCCCAACAAATGAGAGCACACACATTATACTTAACACCTAGGAAAATCCTGTAATAATCTCTATATGCTAGATTTTATAAAGTTTTTTTTACACTGAATCCAAAGCTTCTGATCATCATGTGTACCTTCTGTGGTTTGACATCCAATTAATTCTGTTATTTCCTGTTGCTTTCAGAATGGAGTGCAAGACGTTCTTCTTTCCAACCAACAGGTATGTTTTGGAATGTTGTCTTATCACAGTTTGCTAAATTGAACACTTCCTTTTATGCTGTATTTTGTTTTTGTTTATCAGAATGGAGCTCCAGGGACTTCCACTGGGGCAAACCCTTTTCATTCATATTACATGGTATGTAAACAGATTAGTACGTTTTGGTCAGAAATGACCTGTTTTTACTGAACACATTCTCAGTCATGTGTTCTGGTTTCAGGAGTCTGGAAGCTTGGGTCACATAAGGGAGAGTTCTGGAAGTAAATCAGAAGCAGCGAACACCATCATCCTCCCTCCACCTGATTATCAGGATACTGAAAGTAGGACTTTTTAAATTAATCCAACATTTCTAAACATCAGTAACAGACCTATGAACATGATGATGTCTTTCAGCTACTTTGGACCTCAGCGCCACTGCCAGGGATGATTTTCATGATAGAAACATCAACCCACTGGGCTTTATTAGCAGAAATGCGTCTCGGAAACAGAACTTGTCTAAACCCTGGGAGAAAAATGGCTTTCACTCTGTAAAAGATGAACTGCAGGATCTTTTCTATGCTACCAAAGGGGAGGAGTTTCTCCGTACTGATCATCCTAATGAGATGGCCACGTTGGAAAAGTCTTGTGATATTTTTGTGGATCCTTTCAAAGCACAGCTGGAAAAAGAAAATGATTTGTTCCAGGCTTCACAAACTGTTCCAGGAAACCCTTTTCACAAAAGCAAAACAGCAGAAGCTGATTTGTTTCAATCAGTTCCAGCTAAGACTGAAGACCTTTTTGCTGTCAAACGAAAAGAAGATACTCAAAATTCAGTGGATAATTACTCCTTTAGGAGTAATTTAGACATTTTTTCTTCTTCATCTGCAAGTACAGTTGATCCATTCTCAAGTCCACTTCCTAGGAATCTATTTGATGTCTCCAGTTTGGATGACCCTTTTGGCCCAACTCCTTTTAAGCAACAGGACCCTTTCCAAAGTTTTTCTAATGGAACCTCAGACATATTTCAACCATGCTTCTCAGAAGCTAAAGAAAAAAATGCATTTGACTTGTTCTTTACACCTTCCGAGGTAAAGCTGGGTACGCCACCACCAACAGATCTACAGAGGACACCATTAAAACTGCCTCCAGCCGTCCCACCAAAGCCTCCCAACAAGCCACGAGACCGTCTTCAACCTACTTCTTTCATTCAGGCTGCTGGTCTGTCCCCGTCACCCAGCCAATCTCAAACTGAGATAACCAATGTATGTAACGGCTCACATGAGTAAACAATTGTCTAGTTTTAATGCCCTAATTCTGTGCAATGAGTCAGTAAATTTTCATATGTTCACTTGTGAAGGGGTCAAATTTTAAGCGTCCACCAAGACCACTTCCTCGAATTCGGCGCCACAGGTCAGAAATATCACCACAACCAGAGAAACCAACACTCCTCGAAAAAACCATAACATCTGAGAGTCCACCCCAGCCTGAGAGACCACAAGAACCAGAGAGGCCACAACAGCCCGAGAGACCACCTCAGTCAGAAACTCCCCTAAAACCAGAGGGACTTCCCCAGCCAGAGGTCTCTGTAAACCCCATCACTCAGGTAATCATTTAGCTTTCATTTTAGTTCCATTGTGCATGTTTTGCACTTGTTTTACTGTTTTTAAATGAACATGACATCTCTCTGATCTTTTGTTTAAGATTGAACCTGAACCAGATGCACTTACACCTCCCCCTAAATCATTCTTCAAACTCCCTACCAAACCACCCAAACCAAGTTTCCGTCTCAAATCAAAGACTCCGGTATGCAAGTGTATTCATTTGAATAATTGTTTTGTTTTGTAAATGTTACAAATATTTGTATTTAGATCATTGTCCAACAAATAATGGTGGTGGGGGTGGGGGGTGGGGGGGTGGGGGGGTGGGGGGGTTGTATTCGCACAGGTGATGTTTAGAATTTTGCGCTCAACCAATCACTAATTGCTCTTAACCAGTTTGTGAGCTGTCCACAAGGGGTCCTTTTGTTATTTTCTGAATTTCACTGACTACTTGATACATAAATATCCTGTGCCACAGTTGGCTAAAGCTAGATGATAGATTATAGTGATGGGAATTCCAGCTCTTTTTAGAGAGCCGGTTCTTTTGGCTCAGCTCAACAAAAAGAGCCGGCTCTTTCGGCTCCCAAGTGGCTCCTTAGATTTTCTGTTGCGTAGAGTACATTTATAACCAAAATAATGCAATGATTTACTAATGTAAAAAATGCAATATATCAAATATTTATCATTTATATGGATTTATTTACTGAACATTTTAAGAAATCTTTACTTTCCGACTGCTGTCGCTCATTTTCTCACCATCTTCGTCACACTTTCCTCTCTCTCGCTCTCCTTTTTCCTTCTCCTCATTCCCTCTCCTCTCCCTCCGCCCGCATGTGCTCTGCTGTGTGTCTGAGTCTGATCCTCCCTCTTCCCCGCCCCTACTGCTCTGTGTGTGGACAGTCTGGACACGCAGTTACACATGTTGACCAATCGCCTGTGGCTTTCACCAAAGCAAGAGGGGGAGGGGAGGGAGGGTGACGGCTCCCAATGACGAGCCGGCTCCCGTCGTTCACTTCATAGAGCCGGCTCTTAGAGCTGGTTCGTTCGCGACCGACACATCACTATTAGATTAGGTGACTGTACCTCAGACCTATCTGCCAATAAGATGTTTCCTCGGCACAGAAGGGTTAACCTTCACTTGTTAAATCGGGTAAGATATTTATCAACAGGTTTAAGCTAATTTAAGTTTGCTAATGGCAGTTATAATGGGAAAGACATACATCTAAAGGAAACTTCAAATGTTTTCAGTGGTATAATATGTTGGATTGTAGATGTAAGACTTGTGGAAAATTATATTGGACCCTTGTGGACATAAAGACTTTTTGTTCTAGATGTCTCTGTTCTGTAAATTACATAAAGCTTTGAGCAATGACATTATTTTGAATTCCCAAGTGGTTTGCAAAAGCGTTTACTATGTCTACAGTTATGGTTGTACCCTTTATAGGCACACTTCACTGGAACCACAAGAATCCTAGCTTTCTAATGTATCAGGTTTAGAAGTACATAGTGTTGCAAAAAAGATGCTGAATTGACACAAGTATGTAGTGTGTCATCTGTGGAACTGATTCTTTGGCATTAAAAAATCCCCTCAAAAAAGCTATTGACGACAGACTCGTCGATAAATGCATCCAATTGCCCAGTCTTACTGGACACTGTGCAGTTATTACTACAGTAGTACTAAGTATAAAAATCCAAGTTAAATTTTATCTTTAAATAAAATGACATTTGCTGCTGACCTCGACTCGGAACATTGTGGGGTGTACGGTGGGTGGCGTACTTTAAAGACTTTCTGAATCCCAACACGTTTGCCAATGAGGAAGCAGAGTCTGGGTACTCAGACTCTCCAAACTCTGGAGCTGGTACTTTGGCAGTATGGGGTACCAGGCCCTCTGATACAGGCTTTTAGGTCTCTGTATGACCGGTGCCCGAGCTTGGTCCATATTTCCGGCAGTAAGTCGGGCCCATTCCCGATGAGAGTTGGACATCACCGATTCTGTTCATAACTTTTATGGTCAGGATTTCTCAGCACAGCCAAGGTGATGAGGGGATCTGTTTCTGCTTTTTGCAGATGATGTGGTTCTGTTGGCTTCATCAGAATGTGATGTCCTGCTTTCCCTGGAGTGGTTCACAGCAGAGTGTGAAGCAGCTGGGATGAGAATCATCTAAATCCGAGACCATGGTCTTGAGTTGGAATAGGGTAGAATGCCTTCTCCTGGTCAGGAACGCGGTCCTGCCTCAAGTGAAGGAGTTAAAGTATCTTGGGGTCTTGTTCACTGATGAGGGAGAGATGGAGCATGAGATCAATAGGCGGATTGCTGCTGCGTCAGCAGTGATGCGGGCGTTGTACTGATCTGTCATTGTGAAAAGAGAGCTGAGCCAGAAGACAAAGCTCTCGATTTACCGATCATCTATGTTGCTACCTTCACCTATGGTCACAAGCTTTTGGTAGTGACCGAAAGAACGAGATTGTGGGTACAAGTGGCCGAAATTAGTTTTCTCCACAAGGTGTCTGGGCTCTTCTTTAGAGATAAGGTATAAGCTCAGTCATCCGGGAGGAGCTCGGAGTAGACCCACTGCTCCTCCACATCAAGAGAAGCCAGTTGAGGTGGCTCAGGCATCTGGTTAGGATGCCTCCCTGGTGAGCTTTTCTGGCCATGTCCAACTGGGAGGAGACCTAAAGGAAGACCCAGGACATGCTGGAGAGACTATGTCTCTCGGCTGGCCAGGGAGTGCCCTAGGATTCCCCTGGAAGAGCTGGTCCAAGTAGCTGGGGAGAGGGAAGTCTGGGCCTCTTTGCTTAGGCTGCTGACCTCGAGACCTGACTCCAGATAAAGAAGACGAAAATTCAATTCAATTCAATTTTATTTATATAGCGCCAAATTGCGACAACAGTCATCTCAAGGCACTTCACATAACAAACATTCCAATCCAGGTCAGTTCATTAAGCCAATCCGAAAAAATTTTTCCTATATAAGTAACCCGGCAAATTGCATCAAGTCACTGACTAGTGTCAGTGACTTTATAGCAATCCTCATACTAAACAAGCATTTAACGACAGTGGAGAGGAAATCTCCCTTTTAACAGGAAGAAACCTCCTGAGGATCCTGGCTCAGTATAAGCAGCCATCCACCATGACTCACTGGGGATCGAGAAGACAGAGCAGACACACACACACCAAGCGATGTGTCTATGGTTACATTGTGATTTCTTAGTAAATTTGGCGAGAGATGAACTTTATTGTATTTATCCTAGTGAATCTATAATAAAATGGGCAAACTAGTAGTAGCACATCCAATGTCAAGGAAAGCAAAAAGTTATTATCAGGAGAGGGAGAATGTTTAAGTGATTAGCAGCGGTGTGCTAGACGATGGCCCCCTCCATGAGGCCAACACAGCTCAGCAGAATATCATTGTAGCTTCTTCTGGGGAGAAAAACACTTGGAGAAAAAATTAAGTTAACAGCTGAAATTGCAGAAAATAATAGTTAAAGAGCAGATTGTAGAAGAAAGTAGTAGTGTGGAAAAGTGGTCAGTGTGTCCTCCAGCAGTCTAAGCCTATAGCAGCATAACTACAGAGATAACTGGATAACCTAGCCTTTTTAGATGGAGGCATGTTGGAGGCAGGGCAAGGGAGAGCCGTCTTTACCGACTGTATTCTCCACCTCCCTCTACACACCCACTTGTCCAGATCTAGGCTAACAGATTTTAACAATAGACCATATCAAATAAAAATGTTTTAAGCCTAGTCTTAAAAGTAGACAAGGTGTTTGCCTCACGGACTAAAGCTGGGAGCTGGTTCCACAAGAGAGGAGCCTGATAACTAAAAGATCAGCCTCCCATCCTGTTTTTAGATATTCTGGGAACCACCAGTAAACCTGCAGTCTGAGAGCGAAGTGCTCGGTTAGGAACGTATGGAACAATCAGATCACTGATGTATGATGGAGCATGATTATTAAGAGCTCTATGTTTGAGAAGGAGGATCTTAAAATCTATTCTGAATTTAACAGGCAGCCAATGTAGGGAAGCTAAGACAGGAGAGATATGATCTCTCTTTTTAATTCTCATCAGAACTCTAGCCCCAGCATTTTGGACAAGCTGAAGACTTTTAACTACATTCTGTGGACTTCCTGAAAGTAATGAATTGCAATAATCCAGTCTTGATGTAATAAATGCATGAATTAGTTTTTCAGCATCACTCCTGGAAAGGATGCATCTAATCATAGCAATATTCTGAAGGTGGGAAAGGGAAATCCTACAAACCTGTTTAACTTGGGATTTGAATGACATGTTCTGGTCAAAGATAACACCAAGGTTCCTTACTTTGTTCTTGGAGATTAATGTAATGACATTCAGGTCAGGTGATTGGCTAAGCAATTTCCTTTTCTGGATTTCTGGTCCAAAGATGAGAACTTCCGTCTTGTCTTGATTTAAAAGCTAAACGTTTAGAGTCATCCAATTTTTTATGTCCTCAAGACAAGCTTGTAATCTACCAAACTGATTAGGTTCATCAGGGTTAATGGATAAATATAACTGAGTATCGTCAGCATAACAGTGGAAGTTTATCCCATGCTGTCTAATGATTTTACCAATTGGGAGCATATATATAGTAAAAAGAATTGATCCAAGCACTGAACCCTGTGGTACTCCACAAGTAACCCTGGAGTATGAAGATTTGTCATGTACATTTACAAAATGAAATCTGTCAGACAGGTAGGATCTAAACCAGCCTAGCGCTGTTCTTTAAAAAAATGTATTTTAAACAAAAGGGAAAGTATGAAATCACGATCACAATCACAAAATTACATACTAAAGTCAGCTTTTTGACACATGCATTGGTCCTGACTTTTCTTTTCAATTTCCATTTTTTGCATCAACATAAACTATTCTGAAAGTCTTTGCACGTATTAATAGATTAAAATGAGCCATATTACCACCAATCTGACCTTGTATTATTTATCTTTAATAATCTCATGTTTGCTGCAATATTTAAACCAGCTGATTGTTTTCCAACCATAGAAGACAGAGTTATTCCCTCTCAGCTGTCAGCTTAGTGTGTCTAATTTATGCTGTTTAAACTCCAGACCCTGTAAAATAGACACATGGCTGATATTCTGGCCCTAGCCGGGTCTTAAATGCTGAAATAAAGTACACTAAACTGCAGGTTCTCATCATTGTCACATTTTCCAGGAGACTAAACTGGTTACTCCTGACAACTATGTCGTCTTCGAGGACATTCTGTTAATTGGACAGGTGTGTTGAAGTTATTCAGCTTATTTTGAGAATAGAATGATGATGATTAGATTTGTAGATTAATATAAAGATGTCCTACATTTAAACAAACCAGGAACAATGTGTTGAAGACTGGCCCGAGGACAGTCCGGAGGTCGATCCTGATTTTAAACCAGTAAGTCTTTTATGTACTTTGTTGTATTTCTTTTAGTAAATCTGTGCTTGTTGATGTTCATTACTGATTGTGTTCAACTTTTTTTCTCCTTTCAGTCTGGAAAAATTAAATTACGAAGAGATTCGATGCTGGTCAGTGACATATAGTGTCTCCTAGATGTGACTGCTCATGTTGAAGCAGATGAAAGAAGCTGAACGTGTGACTTTCTCAGGTTAACAGGGATTCTGGCGGAGGAAGCAGTGAGGATTTCGATGCCCTAGGAGGTCACGTGAAGGTAATGTCTTAACTTTAAGCTTCGTGTTGTACCTTAAATGCCTTAGTTTCACCTTCACTGTAAATGTTTGTTGCAGAAAAAGAATCTGAGTTTAAGAAAGTCCCTGCTCTCCAAGAGAGCCTCAGAGGTAAACGGGATCTAATAAGGAAACTTCGTATTCCACCTGTAGATGTCACCTGTTTAGTGTTTCTAATGTGTTTTCCTGTCCTTTGTGTCTGATTGTGATTTATTTACTTTTAGAGCAAGTTTCCAGATGATGTCAAAGATAAGAGGAACCCTTTGCCCCTCCTAAGAGAGGCCAAGGTGAGAATATTCCTAACCTGTGCCTGTTGAACTACATGTTTGTGGCTGGAGGAGGCCTCAGCCTTGAGATGAGGTGTGGAGCTCCAACATCTAGGTCAGTGGTCTTTAGTCCCGCTGTAACACTGATGCATCAGTCTCAAACGTCATGGAGCTCAGGTGTTATTAGAACTACTTGTGTGTGTTTACCACCCAGCTTCAGCTCTTCTGTGTTTGGGTCTGACCCAAGTTAGTAAATGTAAGTCCTCCATCAGGCTTGTGCCTCTTCTGGTGTCATTTGAAAGGATGTTATTTATTTATTTAACCCTTACTAGATTACCAGCAACAGAAATGCTGCTAAAAACACACAATTATGTGAAGCTGGGAAAAATTAAAATACTGTGCAAAATTACATTCTTTTCTGTAATTTAACTAGACTGAGAGACCATTTAAAGGCTTGGGAAACTTTACAGGTGTTTCTATTTGCAATTTAAAATTTTAGCTGATTGGGGTCTTGTTAAATATCACACAGTGACCTTTTAATATAAGTGTAATGTTCCTGTTAGTAGTTCCTCTTGTTAAGTGCTTATTGATTTAAATTATTCATGTTTATAAAAACATTTTGACATACATTTTATTATGTTCCAGTCATTAGTCATTTATATTTCACTATTGTAGTACTTTATAGTAAATTAAGTAAGTTCAATTAACCCATTTTTCTTGCATTCTTTAATGAAAAAAGTAACTAAGTAGTTATTTTTCTTGGTAATTAGTTACTTTTAAAATCTCGTAACTCAGCTGGTAACGGAGTTGCTTTTTTGACAAAGTAATTAGTAACTATAACAAATTACTTTTTAAAACTAACTTTCCCAACACTGGTGGTATCCAACCCTGGTCCTCCAGCACCACCATCTAGCATATTTTACTTGTTTCTCTGCTGGTTACAATCAGTAGGTGATTAACAGGTGTCTGCAGAGCAGAACAGGTGATTTAACCACTGAATCTGGTGTGTTTGGAGACCTTGTACAGTACATCTGTGACACTACCTTGGAAAAAGAGTGGTAAATAGATGGATGTCTATAAAATAAAAATACAGGAAATGGAAGCAAGTTGTGCTAAAGCTCAATTCTAGTTTGATAGTGGGAGCTGTCAGCTGAACTCTTGGTCCATCAGATAGTTCTTTAAATCTGCCTCTGTTTTATAGGACAGTTCTGAAACCAACGCCTCTGCTGGAGAACATGAGGATGATGTTTTAGGTCCCATGGAACACAAAGTAAACCGTGACTTCTTATTTTCTGTGTTTTCTATTAATTCACAATTCTTTTCAATGACCTATATTTTGTATACCAGAAAGAAAAGAATACCAAAGTTTCAAACCTTTTTCGAAGATCATCCTTGGGAGCTGAGGGGAAAACAATTGGACATTTAAAGGTTGGTTATAAGAATATATCGGCTGCATGGATTATTAGATGCTGACGTATGAATATGGCTGGAAAATATGGCATGGTACTGGGACCAAAATTAGCACTACTACCCTGCCGCAAGGAGGCTTTAAATATTATGTAGCAAACTACTGATCTGAATAATGATGATTGCTGGTTACTGCGAAAGAGCTCACTAACATGCATCAGTATTGGAGATAGGGCTGGGCGATATGACGATTTTAGACCGTTTTACGATCTACACATCTGACGGTCTGTCATTTTTGAGAGACCTTTTTATCACGATTCACAGCTCTGCTGTTGAATTTCTGCCTCTGAATGAAAAGGGAACTTACCCCAGGCGAATGACACGCCTTTGTTTGACCCTTAACCAATCAGAGTGAGTCATAGTAATATATTAGTGCCCCGCTTGTTTTCTCCTGTGTGTGAACCATGGTGTGAACAAACATGGCTTCGGCCTCGGCTGAGAGCGACAACGAGGTTTTCGTTCCGAAGAGGAACGCAAGGTTTCCTTAGCGCGCGGCGCTAACAACTTAGCGACGTGACATGTCTCGGAGAAAGCATAAAAACACGTTGGACGCTTCTTCTGAAGCAGGAAAATAACACCGCTTCTTAAGCAGAGCACGACGTCGCCTCGGCTCGTTCACCCTCTGCTGAGCCGGACTGAACTCGGTCACTGGGTCGTTGGAGCTGCCCCGTGACTGCCTGATGGAAAACCAGCGGGTTTCATCAGACTCGTAGTTTCTTGTTTTTGCTGGGGACCCCCTGTATTTTACTGCTCCCTCCTGCAGTCTTCCCCTATTAAAATTTAAAATGATTCTGTAAACTCCGTGTATCAATAGAAAACACCTCTGTCTCTGCCAGCTGCAGTAAATGTAGTTTCCAAATAATAAGAGGTGCATTCATCTGTGTATCTCCTTTGATCCGCATTAGTGATATTTTCAGCACCAGAACAGTGAAGCAAAGAAAGATTCCTGAGTTTGTTAGTAATTTTATTTATTAGGTGCATCTAACCTGTTCTATTTTTCTCTGAAATGAGATCAAATCAGTGCTTCTATGGGTTGTCTCCAATCTGCACTGTAAAATTTTACTTTATTTAGAGACTTGTTGCAGAAAATATTCCGAATGCACAGTTTTTTGCTACCACAAGCGATCTCTGGTCCAGCCGCACATCAGAGCCGTATTTGAGCTTAACTATCCACTACATGAGCAACTGGGAGCTACATAGTATTTTGAACAAGTTAATGTTTGCACAATACGTTTGCAATGTTTGCACTTTAAATATGGTTACGATTTTAATTTATGTTAAGTTACTTGAAAAACAAGAAAAACTGATTTTTGTAATCGTTTCTCTCAGGGCTTTTATCATCTCTGGTGTGAGTTTAAAATATAAGTGTGTTAGCACTGTGCTGATTATCCCTAATATGAATAAATGTTTATTTATTCAATGTTTCTCTTCTTTAACCATTTGATGCATAATGGTCACTACAGTGGACAGGTACTCAAAATGGTTATTTATTTATTTTTGTTATTAAGCACAGCTGTTGAAGACTTTATTGCATTTGAGCCCCTCCATTTGGACTTCAGTAAGCCAAGCCAACAAATTTCATGCTCAGAATGCACACTGTCCACTGAGGTGGACATGTAATAAATTATTTGTAAATTATAAAATTTTACAAAAAAATTTGTTGAAATTTGTTTCATTCACACCTAAAGATCAAAGAAAAAAAATGTTAAAAAAATCATAGTTGAGGATTTCATAATTCATGCATCAGAGGGTTAATACACAATTGAAGTTATGCTATTCATGGATAAAAAATCGTGATAAAATCGAAATCGTGATAAAATATTGGAAAAATTGTGATATTCTATTTTTGCCATATCGCCCAGCCCTAATTGGAGATGCTAGTGACTAGCAATCCTCGGCTGGTCATTGTCTAGGTCACCTGCTCTCTCTAGCATGGCTAGGCTAGCGTTAGCCTGGACAGACTGACTTTAGCATCGGAGAAGCTAACGATGTGCATGCCTAGGCTGGTCACTCTCTGGATTTCATACTCCCTCTGCTGTCCATTAGCATGGATAGACTAGCGTTAGCATTGGAGAGGCTAATGATTTGCATGCCTTGGCTGGTCAGTTTTTACTCTTTCTTTTAAACTTTATTAACCCTTAGAGGTCCCTCGTGCATTTTTTTGCGCAGGCCGTCAAGTTTTTTTGAACAACTTTGGCTGTGTTGATGCAGTTCTTATTTTTTGCTCCAGTGTGGGTTTTTGGGTACGTTCACTAAAAAGTAACCCCCCCCCCCCCCCCCCCCCACCACCACCACCACCACCACCACCACCATTTAAAACATTGTATAGGCACAAAAAAATTTGAGGTCCCTGGACAATTTTGGGTGTCATAGACTCTCATTTAAACAACATTTATCTACCAAGCTAAGCTTGATAAGTCACTGTAAGACTCTTTGATCTACACAAAAACTTTGTGGTAGCTGGATATAAACTGAATGTGCAGCAAATTTTCAAAAGTTAATAATTTATTTACTGTTGCAAGTTTTAATGCCAACAAGATTACAACTTTTTGAACAGATCAAAACTCATGAACACACAAGTATTAACAGCTATAACTTCAAAGATGAAGCCTGTAAAAACAAAGGCCTGCATCAGTCAATGTTTACCCTTGTGTCCTTGCTAAAAATGCTGATATAGATGGCTCAGATTGGGATTAGTTTTTTTTCCACTGCAAAAATGGCATGACGTCTCAATGTATCCTGTGGTAGCCTGTGAACTTTTTTATGAGCTAGAAGCCAAGCAGGAACCAACAGTCTCCGGCGGGGAAAGCTAGTCTTCTGACGATGACTCTGTGGACTCGGAGGATGAAAGTTTTGTCCCAGGATGGGGAAGAGGGAGAAGACTCTGATGAAGAGATGGAGGAGGGAGGGGCAGGTAATTCTCCGTGGAGTTCAAAGAGCGGTATGTCACAGGAGAGCCATCATTTTCGGCGAGAAAAAATCCTGCATCCTGGTATCACTCGGTACGCCGTGAGCCGGACAGAAAGCATTGAACATTGTTTTAATTTTTTTTAATCACGGATAATATCCTCAACCTAACTGTTCGCCACACGAACACGGAGGGGATCTGGAGAAATGCAGAGTGGATGTCGACTGAAGCGACAGACCTGCGGGCATATCTTGAGCTGCTGATCCTGGCTGGAGGGTACCGCTGCCAGAGCGGAGATGGGTCGACCAGCAGCAGAGCAGTCCTCTGGGGGAAGAGAGGAGGATGAAAGAAAGGTGCCATCTCTTCCAAGGCAAGCGAAGCATGTTTGCCCACTTCTGCTTCAAATGTGACCTGGCTGTCTGCAAGGAGCACTCCACAGTTGTGTGCACCGTTTGCAACACACACACACACACACGCACGCATGCACGCGCGCACACACACACACACACACACTTGTTCCAATAAACATTTAAATAACTATCATTGTTTGAGCATTTTTCTGTGCGAGGGACCTGGTTGTGTTTTTCTGATTCTCTGACACTTCACAAAAGAGACAGAGAAAACAAAACTTTTTTTTTTGCTCACAATTCACCCCCTAAAGAAATCCTCTGGACATAACGCACAAAAAATGATTTAGGTTTTAATTTTTTATAAAGTAGATTTTTTTTTGACTAAACATGGCACTAAAGGGGTTAAATCCTAAAAACACTCAAATATTGTATTACGTTTTGTGAGGACTAAAGCTAAGGAAAGAATCTGTGAAAAAAAAAATTGACTTTTGAAATATATATTTTAATACATTTTGCTAAAATGCATTTTTTTGTGTGAGGGTCCCCAGTGTAGCTTTTTTAAGGAACCTCCAAGGGTTAATAAAATGGATGATATACAGTAAGACGGTCAGACATGCAGTGACAGCCGTTAATTTGACAGAAGGCACAGTCATTTAACGTAACATCAACCCTCAATATATTGTTGCAAAGCTGACCACCTGTTATAGAAAAAACAGCTTTCCCACATCCTTGACTTGTTCTCTCTAACAGGACGGTGACACTCACAAGAAACACATCGGAAAGAGAAACACCCATCGTAAACCATCTGAGGTAAATCCGTTCTGTTCTCTACAATTATGTTCGGGGGATAAAATAAACTCATCTGATCATCTAAATGGGTTCCATGGGTTGTTCCAGTCCAAGATGATGGGAAGATACAGATGTAGTTCCCAGCTTCTTCTGTGTTATACTACAATAAAACCCTTTTTATCTGATTTTAATACCAGGATGAACCAAGAGGAGCGCATGGATACACGCCTCACAAAGGCTCAAAGGTACGACTGTAAACTGGCAAGTGTGTGATCCTTTAGTTCATACGGTGTCCCCGTGGTACAAGGATGTCTAAAAGGTCTCGCATGATGACTTTTGCTCTTGTCACACAGGAAAAGTCACTTGATGAAGACTTTGGTGCATATGGACACACGCCTCAAGACAAGTCCAAGGTTAGAGACCACTTGTCCGTCACTGTCTGGTATGAGACGGGTCCTGTGGATCTGAGATGGCACGGCTCATTTAAAACATAGTTTTTTATTCAGCAGACAACACACAAGTGCTACAGATAGATTGTTGGTACCAACTACAGAACCTTATTTTGATTATTGTGTGCATCATTTGGTAGAATGAGATGTTTGACAATGAAGACGCGATGAATGAGCTGCATCCTCAGTCGGCTGCAAAGGTAACATTTTAATTAACAGGCTTTTTATTTAAGGGATGGAGAGATGCTAACATCTTCAAACATGTCTCTCAGGGTGACGTCATGGGTGAGAAGAAAAAAAAGAAACAAAAACTTCCATCGATCGCTCGTCAAAGATCCAAGGTACACAGACGTTGGTGGTAAAGGTGGAATATGGAACATTTTAATGAAAATCTATATTTTTAAATAATACCCCCACAAGGCGTTAAGAGGTGTGTAGAATGAATGTACAGTTTTTTCATTAAAAGTTATATTTAAAAAAATATCAAATTTTTCATTTGTCGGACACGACACAGGGTTTATGCTTACATCTACCAGCCAGTGGAGGGCACCGTTGTGCTAAAAGGTCCGCTTGGCAAGGCAAGGTTGGTCCTTGTAAAATGGCGGACTTGATAAGTCAAGCAGCTGATTCTGAGCCCAGAAAATGTTCTAACGATAAATGTTGTTGTAAATAAATTAGTCGTTACCCTGTACGATGTTTTATTGGACATGGTGCTGGTTGGATACTTAACATGTCAGCAGTGACTCAACACCCCGATGGCTGTACAATGATTTTGGTTGTTGCTCTACCACCTCTAAACACTAGATATCGCCAGAGTGTTCATGTTCCATATTCAACATTTAAAGGTCAGGCTTTGGAATTGTAGAACTGATAGTCGGTTTAGATTTGGCTCAAATGTGTGTTTGTGACTACAGGAGAACATGTTGGATGATAATGGTTTGCAGAAAAAGAAGAAGAGCAGCTCGTCAGCTGAAGAGTTGGACAATGGAGAACTTCACGAGATGGAGGTAACCGTTTAAACTGTGCTCATAAGGAACCGGGGCTAGGTGACGTGGTAGTTGTTTATTATTTTAGGGCTTCTTTGTGATATCTGATTTATTTCCCTGGATTGGAGATAAAAGTCCCATAGCTGTCTCACACACTGGTGTGGTGAAAATTGTCCTCTGCATCTGACCCGTCTGCATGGGGAACGGTGAGCTGCAGACACTACAGTGCTCGGGAACTATTTGGTGGTTTCACCCCCCAATCCAACCCCTTAAAGCTGAGTGTCAAGCAGAGAGGCATTGGGTCCCATTTTTAAAGTCTTTGGTGTGACCCGACTGGGATTTAAACACCGGACACTCCCAGGATTTGTCCCAGGGCGGACACTCTACCACTAAGCCACTGAGCTGATCTAGAGGGAGATGGAATGAGCTGTGATGCACAGAGGTGGAAAGAATACTAAAATGTCCTACTTAAGTACGTGTACCAATACTTTGATAATTTTTTTACTCAAGTACAAGTAAAAGTACTTGCCTAAATTTTTACTCTAGTAAAAGTAAAAAGTATCGTAAATAAAATGTACTCAAAGTAAAATGTACTTGGTTACATTTTTGTCAGCGTAAGGATGGCTACATCTAAGTAGTGCAAAATCACAACGCCAGTTCACAATTTGCTCGTGTGCCAAGGCAAGCGAAGCATGTTTGCCCACTTCTGCTTCAAATGTGACCTGGCTGTCTGCAAGGAGCACTCCACAGTTGTGTGCACTGTTTGCAGTGCGCACGCGGCACACACACACACACACTTTGATGGAGGGATTTCTATCCTATTAGTGAGAACAGGACGTGCACATTAATTGGACGAGGTTTTTCTGGGATTGTAGGTTTCAATTGTGATTAAAATTATTCTTTATTTTGAGTAAAAAAATGTTTTTTAGATGCCATCAGCATGTGAGGTATCTCAATATTTTCATGACAAAACTAACATGAGACTGTGCTCTAACCTGGCACATAACAAGCCAAATGAAAGTCAAACATGTCAAATGGACCGTATGACAGCTGTTAACGTTGGCCCTGCCCTACTTTACCTCTACATTACAGTTCCTTTATCCATGTCCATCCTAGAGCTCCTCTCTGACCTTCATGCTTATTTAGAGCAGCTGATTTTTAAAGTTAGCAGACAGAGTTCATCCTTGGTAGTGGGTTCACTCACTCAATTAACCCTTCACCACTGAAATCAGTTTGTTCATTCCAATCCTCCTAAATAATCCTCCAATCGTCCAACTGGAATCCTTAAGGGTCCCATAACATCCATCCTGTCAGAATAAGCCTTGGGAGCCCAGGTGTTACTAGAACTAATGATGCACATGTGTCAGACACAAGGCCCACGGAGCATTTTTATGTGGCCCGCGAGATAAATATCAAAAATATATTAAAACTGACCCGCTGGCCGAGTTTACCGGAAAGACTAAAACTCCCATGATGCTTTGTGGCGTTAGCACGGAGCAGAAGCGCCCCCTCCTTTGTGTTTTTTCCAGCGTCTGCTGCCGGTGTCTGCAATTCTGCGGTCTCGGACAAACTAAACACTCCTCTCACTCAGCGCCGAGTTTACTCAGCTATTTGCCGACGTTGAAGCCCAGAAACAGAGATTTTAACCACTCAGGAATGTGTTCACGACTGACAGAGAAAGCTTTCCAACTAACTTCCAGACAGAGCTGATATAACTCCAGCGAACAGCGACACGCTCAAATCAGCATGACTCTGTGGCTGCTGTAGTTTTTATTTTTCCTCCCCAACACACAACAACGTGGTCAAGCTGCTCAGACGCTCTCCATGTTCAGCAGCACAAACCTATGTGAGCACCTGTTGTCATCTAATGTTGTCATTATTATGATGAAGCTGAACAAAACAACAGGAGTCTCCTCCTCAGCTCAGATCAACCCCATGATGCAGGTATCTGGCTGGAACAGGTGAGCATCACAGTAAACCAGTGGAGCAAACTGAGCTTTAAATATTTTGGTTTTCTGCTCGTTTTCTTTTCTAAAACATGAAAGTTAACAGGTGAGATGTTGTATTTTCATTTAAGATAAAATGATATTTTTACTTTGTTGTTGGCCCGTGAGAAAAGATTTAACCTACAGTAAACAGGAAGTGGACAGGCTGCAGATAGATGAATAGAATAGAAAATCCCTTTATTGTTCCTCAGTGGGGAAAGCTAGACGTCACAGCAGCGATGACACGTATTACAGGAGAAAAAAAGGTGAATAAAAAATAAGAAAAATGAATTAGACGCTGTGCTCATGCAATATTTTTAATTTATTAAGCCTATAATTTTTTTACTTGGTAACGGATATGATTTAAAATGTGGCGAATTACAATTCTTTTTAAAAACGTACTCAAGTAAAAGTACAGATTTTAAAAAGACTTAAAAAGTATAAATTCACAAAAAAGCTACTCAATTACAGTAACGTGAGTAAATGTAATTCATTACTTTCCACCTCTGGTGATGCATTAGTGAATTCATGACACCAACAGAGATGCTGTGTGGATCTGTCCTTCACGCCAGACTGGCTACATCCCCAGCAGCGACCTGCATGCCAAATGCGAGGTCTGCCTCGGGGCTCAACATGCCGGCCTCGCTCCGAGGCCACAGGCTCAGGCCCCTTCTGTTTCACTTGGTCGTCAGCTGAAAAGATCTGCTGTTTTATCGCCGTCTCCATAAGGCCTTCCTGGTGGCTGTAACTTATTCGCTAAACAAGGAAATCCAGTTCCTTTGTGTCTGTTGGGAGCTGGCTGGCCCCGACCGGTAGAGCCCTGCACTGAAGCCCTAGGCCCTCGGGCCGGGCTTCGGGCCAACGACTGTGTAATTACCTCGGACACGGGCCGGGCTGGGCGCCTTTATTTTTAATCGAATTCATTAAAAAAAAATTGAAACACAAACGCAGCAGTAGATCCCAGCGCGGGACTGTTTTCTTCATCCCGCTCCTGCCCGCTCCCGCTGAATTTCTGACAATTACCGCCTGCAACTGCAACGTGTGTGTTACACTCCCGCCCGCACCCGTAGCGTGCATGTCTACTCCCGCCCGCAACCGCAAAACTCAGAGAAATTATTACCTCACAATAAAAGAGATGTATTGAGTTTGCGTCCTCTCTGGTCCTGGAGAAAACATGTCACAACTCGCGGCTCTTCCATCCATCTGATGCGGCTCTCTGTGCTTGTAAAATAATGAATGGATATTTAAATAAAATGCTTTATATTTTACTGCATTAATTTTATATCTGTAAGTCAATTCTATGTAAAGATTGTCTGCGTAAACCTGAACAGGTCCAACCCGGTCTTACTGTGAGACCGGGTTGACGCGTCACGCTTGTGCGTAATCATAGGCGCTTTCTGAGCTGAAGAGATTCTGGGCTTCTCCTCAGACAGGCTCATGGATGCGTCGCCACATTGGAGACAGGAACAAGCACAATTCAGCCAAAGTTTCATAATCAGGGAACATTTTCTAAGTGACAAGTCTCTCTGAGAGACAGGGTTTGGAAAACACTCGCTTCAGTGGGAGGAACCTTCCCGCATGCGCTCTGGTTCTGCGACGCGCTCCAAGCCAATCTCCACAACTTCAGCTCACTGTGCACATATGCGCTGAGCAGCTCAGATGTTCAGATGGGAATCTTTTCTTGGGTGATTTAGCTACATCTGCGATATGCGTAGAATAAAATGTCAGTTTGTCTGCATGCGTCGGAGTAATTCTTTCTATTCTTTCTCCGTCAAAATAAACGGTCAAATACGGGAACTATCCAGTCAACTCGAGCCCTGCTTTTGACTGTTCTGTTTTCTTGTGAAAATTGTTGGAAAGAGATAAAATTTAACTTGATTAACACCAGAGCCAGTGCGCCGTTTTCTCCGTGATGGTAAACGAGGGAAAAACAAATTGATCGGATCCTGCACGTCTTTTAACACAGTGGTCAGGATTGACGCACTTTGTTTTCTTTTAGTTGGTTAAAAAAAAGTCTGGCTCGGGCTTGGGCTCAGGCCGGGCCAGAGAATCCTGAAAACCTTTTCGGACCGGGTCGGGCTGGGGCTCCACCCCCTCGGGCCGGGCCAGACACGGGCTCAGATTTTAGGCCCATGCAGGGCTCTACCGACTGGACTAAATACAACGATGATCAGGCTGGCTGCAAAATATCCCTCCTGGACAATCCAGAGGTTGTTGAGCCACCCACAGCAGGCACCTCTTCTGGTCACCAAACGATACTTTTTGCGTCACGCACCCTTTACCATAACCCTTAGTGATACCCTTTGTAGTATACAGCATCTTTTGACAGAATTAGATGTCTTTACTGGCAATTATGTCTATGGCTGTGGACGCTATTTGGAGGTTGATTAGTGAAATCACTCTCTGCCAAAATGGTGGAGAAGTGCTGATGTCCAATAAGGGTCCATTTTGCATGGAGACACAAGGTCAGCATGCCGTGTCCACCAAGGACTTGATACTCTGTTGCAGCAGACTCACAGGACCATGTATGTCTCCTTTGGCAGAAAGCCTCCAAACAAAAGGCACAGCATCCTGTTCCACGGAAACCCAGAGCAGCCCGTGGACTTGCTAAGGTCAGTGTGGCTCCTCCATACCTTGAGAGTGTGTCTAATGCTCAGAGACAGTGAGATGATGCAGTGCTACGTTTTCAGGGAGGTCTCAATGAGGATCACGTGTCAAAGAAAAATGCAGCGAGTCTTGGAGAGGCCTACGACGTAGACGTGGATTATCTTGACCTCTGCAAACCGGTATTCATCCCAACGTTTTCCCTACACACACACACACACACACACACACACACACACACACACACACACACACACACACACACACACACACCTCACATGTTTTCTTCTGTTCAACAGAAAAACACATTTAAACAGAAAGTGGCTAAGAAGCTGAAAGCCAAGGTGAGTGTTGGTGATTGATTTGTTTAGCTCCTGTCAGGTCTTCAGAGCCCCAGCTGTAACTGATTATCTCACCAGCATAAAGCCAAGCCTGACGCTGCACCAGGAGCTGCACCTGCTGACCTGTCAGAGGCTGCTAAGGTCAGTCTGCTCCTGTCATTTTCCACTCCATCTCAGAGCCCTGTGTACAACCTCTGATTCGTTTAGAAGATGTAACGCTCTTTTGCTCATTTTCTAAAAATACTTGATCACTTCCACAATCCCATTTAGGCCGAGTGGATGGCTGCTCAGAATGATCTAGGTCTAGATGAAGAGGATTTTGAAGAGGACGGGGTCAGTGTCTTCTCTGGATTGGTGATTTTTCATGTTGTTGCTCTGTGTGGTCAGCCATGTTGTTTCTCCTCTCACAGGACACAGACAGCTTGATGGAGTGGTGGTGCACGGTGGAACGTGAGTCACGACCGGTATAATCACAGAGGAAACGTCTTTTATCAGATACCAACCTGTTGTTTTTTGGTGATCAGAGTGGGACGAGCTGCCGTCGGATGAAGAGGAAGCGGCCATTAAAGAAGATGAGTCAAAGTGAGTCTGAGTCAGGTCACCGAGTCAGCACGAAGCACAAAATGTTTAATATTGTTAAACCCTTCAGCACAGATATGATTATATAGGCTGGTGAGTAAATGTTCTGGATGTGTCCAGACTTCCTGAAGATCAGATAAAATCCGTATTGTTTTGGAGGACTTTAGCTGCTTTTCTTCTCATCTTCTGCTCTGGATGTTTTTGTTTGAACCACTAAACTGGACCAAGAACCAGTCTGAGACTGCTTTGGGAACTTGTTCACCAGCAGCATCTGTTGACAGATTCTCCTACAATAGCACAAAAAACAGTTTAATTTATTTAGGCACCAACAGGATTATTGCCAGCGTTGTTAACTGGTACATGGATACACGAGTCATCTCGAGTCCTGTTTCAGGTCTTTTACCATACCACCTTTATTTATATAGCACTTTAAAAACACAGCCATACGGCCGACCAAAGTGCTGAACAGTCGCACAATAACAGAGATAAAAACATACAACAAAGCAATAAAATACAGTCAACAAATAAGAAACAAGTCAATAAAAAAGTTCCGATAAAAACCTTACAATGGATGTTAAAATAAGAGTAGTAAAAACCAAAATAACAGCTAACTGTTAAAAGCAAGGGTAAAATAGTGTGTCTTTAGTCTAGACTTAAAAACTGCCAAGGAGGATGCCAGTCGAACTGCGGCTGGAAGTTCGTTCCACATTTTAGGACCGGCAACAGAGAAAGCTCTTTGTCTGCATGATTTATAACGCTTTTGGTACCTCGAGGAGCAACAGGCTGGAGGACCTGAGTGCGCGACCGGGAGTATAAATCGCAAGAATAGGTACACGGGGGCAAGACCATGGAGGGATTTGAAGACAAAAAGCAATATTTTATATTGGACCCTGAAAGTGATGGGCAGCCAATGAAGGGATTTTAGAACTGGAGTTATGTGCTGGCGCCTGTCAGTACGTGTGAGGAATCTAGCCGCTGCGTTTCGGACGAGTTGAAGTCTGGCAAGGGTTGACTTACTGACACCCAGCAATATTGCGTTCGAATAGTCAAGGCTAGATGTGATAATTGTGATAAATTTGATGATTTTCTTTCCCCTTTCATGAAAACAGAACTTCCAGGCTCTGTTTATTGGCTACACATGTGGATTTTCCACATTCCCGGTAAATTCTTGGGAAGCATATGTGAACCAAAACCACCCAAACCAACACGACCGAGCCTCGACTGTACTTACCCTCAGTTGTGAAAGTGGCCTTAGGCGACTGCTGTCATGTAACAGACCTGGTGGTCCAGTGGTGAGTGCAGCGCTGGCATGCAGAGTAGACCAACTAAAAGCTGCTTGGAAATGACCAAATTCAAAGATCTTTAGACACACGAAATATTTTGCAGGAAACAATAAAAACAAATTATAAAAACATGAAACCAGCTTCAGCTGGCTACAGATATTACTGCCAACACCACCGGGAGTCGAACTCACGCCAGCATGGTGGCAAAGCTGGGATGATCTTTACCCCTACACTACCATTGCCCATACAGGAAATGACACTCCTAAGATGCTCTTGTAGGCATCTTGTAGGGGGGGGGGGGGGGGGGGGGGGGGGGAGAAAAGAGCCGGCGGCTCCGTTCCCCGTTGGCGTTTGTTCAGCACATCCGCTCTCTCTCGTAGTCAAACTCGAACTGACTAACTTACCAAAACCCACTTCTCTTCCCAAAGCAAACTTGTGCGTCAGAGCAAATGTGTTTTGGAGTTACTGTGAATGCAGACCTGTGTGAGCGAGTGTGAAGGTCATCACTAAACATCTCCCAAAACATTATTTAATTAAGTATACTGATTCATTATAGTTCATTATGATTACCCAAAGCATAATAATAATCCATTTGATTAAAATACATTTATAATGAGTTAAATGATAAAATGATTATTTAGCATTAATAAACAAAGGAAGCGTAAGACTCTTTGTAATGACTAGACTTCCTGTGAGAACTCCTTCTTCTGGTGATGCAGGTGTTAGATGTTGTTGATTCCTTATAGACTTGCTGGCGGCTCAGGTCTTTATCTGTGGGTGAAAGTTGCTGGTGACCCAGCTTTGACCCAGCCGGGCAAATACAACCTTTGGCACAGAAAAACCCATACTTCCTCACGCTACATGAGAAAACGCGTCTCTGCTTGGGTTCAGCTCGTGTGTTTTTTACCGTGGGAGAAGGAAAAAACCTTTTGATTTAGAACGTTTCGGTCTGAGGATCCAATAAACTCCTAAATGTCAGCAGCACGTTTTACATTCGTATGTAAATCTTCCATCTTTAACACCACCTGCAGGTCGTTCACCATCTTGGCTGGCAAAGTAGAACGTGGCCTGCGCGTCTTCAATAAGGTCTTCACAGAACGGGCCGAGGTTCTCTGGGAGTCCATCCTCCAGCTCCACTTCCTCGCCGATGACATCAGCGAGTTCCACCAAAAGGCCAGGATAGCTGGCATCACCGGCGGCACCACCACGGCAGTGGGCAGCGTGGCCGCCATCACAGGCCTGGCTCTGGCTCCTCTAACCTTTGGAGCCTCTCTGGTGGTCACGGCAGTAGGAGTGGGCGTGGCTGCGGCTGGTGGGATCACTTCGGCCTCTGCAGCCATCTCCGATAACGTCCACAACATGAATGACCGCAAGAAGGTGCAGCAGGAGACTGGGAGAGTGGGTGTTTGGTGATGGAGGAGCTGAGCTCTAACACTGTCCCTGTGTCCCTGTAGGTGGAAGCACTGCTGAAAGAGTATGAGGAGCACATGATGGCCATCTCCAAGATCCTCCACTTCCTCAACCAAGGTCTGTACAAACTACGCGGCCATCCCTTCCTCAGATCCGGCACCCAGCACTACTCTCAGGACTGGGAGATCCGTAAGGCCGTCCAGGTGATCGGCCTGGTGGACTCACCTGTGATGAGAGCGACGAGCATAACAGACGACGCCGTGGCCTCACTGCAGGGACTCTTCCAAGGCATGGACAAGTACTTCGCCAAGGACTCCAGAGAGCTGAAGAAGGGCTGCAAGAAGGAGATCGTGGCTGAAATAAGACAAGTGGCTAACGTGCTGAACGACTGCATCGTGGAGCTGAACGCGATCAGAGAGGATCTCCAGAAAGCTACTGGCCTCTAAGCCAGTGGAGCTGCGGCGCCCTTTGCTGGCTGAAGCACAGAGCTACACTAAACCTTCCACCTCTGTGAAGCTGATAGTGAACAATGTTTTTATTTATGCGGAGAGGTGATTTTCTTTAGAATTTTTTAAGCTGTAAATTGTTTTTGGATTAATATTCTAAGATTTTTATTGAACACCTACTGCGCTCCATCCCTGTGCCTTTTGCTCCCTAAAAGTCATTCCTTTTGCTTGGATTCACTCTTGTCGTTTGCTTTATTCACAAAGGGTTCTTTTGACACTCACTGATTCAGTTTGGTTTATTCATGGGAGAAAGTCACACAGCTCACAACAGGAGCGGTTTATGTAGGACAGACCGAAGACGAAGCCACACAGTTAGAATATTAATCCCTTTTATTTAAAATTGTGTTTAATCCGTTTCAGTATGAATAAAACTGTTTACAGTTCATGTTTAAATGAACAGAAGTTGGATTTTATTACTCGAGCAGAGAACAGATTTTCTCTCTGGAGGTTGTTTGGATAAATATACAGAACCAGTGCCACAATAGGATGTAAATGGTTGTTTGGCCAACAGGTTCGATGTGTGATTTGATGTTCTTACTGAATAGGAGTTGTTTTTAATCATCCAAACAACCTATTCTAACCTTTAGAGACGCAATGCTTTTTTGCACATAAGTATTTCTTTGCCTTGTTTCAAACTGAATAAAACATATAAATTTTAACTGTTGTGTTTGTCTTGAATCTTTCCCATTATGAAAGTCTAACCTTCAAGCCCCGCCCCTCTCAGGTGACCCGAAGCACCGGCGACTTTTGCAAACTACCATTTGACTCCCGGGTGTGGAGCGGGGACCTACCGGCTAAAGGGACGCTGCGGTGGCTCTTCCTGGCAGGATAACTGACCGGAGCTGCTCCTGCTCCGTTTAGTGGGCTCCACCTTTGGGAACGGGAAGTGAAGTTCGGTGAAACTTTCAGCTTTTGTCCTTCTGCTGTGTTTTGACTCAACTCCGAGGTAAACCTTTGAACTGTTTGTGTTTCCTGTGTGTGTTAGAACTGAGAACAGCCCTCACGGACTCAGCAGAACTTCCGAAAGTGCCGTTCGGAGCGCCGATCAAAACTGCCTTTGAATATGATCAAATTTAAGAGTTCTTAGCTCATTATGTTCATTTTTGAGAGTTTAAAGTAGCATATTACTTTTTATCACTACTGATGAACTTTTGTTCAATTCGGCTTATGTAGTTTACCACAGAACCAAACAAAACGACTTTTCTAGACCGTTTTTGTACTTTTGTTTTCAAGGTTAAACGAGTCTGTGGTGTAACCATGGGTGTAACACACAGGACTTGCTTTGAATGGCCTTGTAATTAGAGTCTGGTGATCAGAAAAAGAATCAGGGACATTATCAACAGCAGTGTCGGATTTAGTTTTTAAACAGGATTTATTTCCTGTCTGACAGCATGAACGGTATCAGGAGAGATGATGGCTCATCAGCTGCTGCTGCTGTGGTGCCACCCAAACCCAGTGAGGAGGTGAGGGAATACTGGGTACATGGGGTTGCTTTGGGTCATGAATGACTGTAACATCTAATAAAGGTTCATGTTTATAACCAGGAGCTGGGAAATTCCATCACACACAGTCAGAACAGACAGGATCCAACCGTCTCACAGGTGAATGAGCACACCTGGACCTGAAAACAAAGTCGCTATGTCTGGTCATTATTTACATCCTTGTGTTTTTAGAAAAGTTAAACAAATGAGTTCATAAAGGCAAACGTGAGGTGCCACATACTCAAAAATTCTACCACTCAGATCCAATTTAAATATTTGTTCTTATTTTTTAAGCCACAGAGGTTGGGGGTGATGGGAGTTGTGCAGAAAGTCAACCCCTTCAAGTCTGCCTCCAAAGTAAAAGCACAGAGCACGATGTGTCTGTTTCAAAGTTCTTAACAGTGCACCAGGTTACGCTACTTGAACATATTGTCCTCTTATCCAGGCGGCGTCCTCCTCCACGGTCTGCAAAGCTCCACCCTCTGAATCACTAGAACGGGCAGCAGACCCCACACAGGTGAGTTTTCACTAATATAGCATCTCTTCAAGGAATGCAGCCCGCCTCAGAGTTTTTAACTCATCCCATGTTTAGAAGTGTTGGAGACATGTTTGTTTTTGTAAATCTGTAAACATCTGGACAATGTGTTGGGGGGTGACCCCCAGCACCAGCCTTTTGAAATAATAGCCCTATATCTGTTGAAGTGACACAGTCGTTAGGCGTTTTTGTGTTTACTGAAGTTGATCAGCTGTGGTGGCCATCTTGAAATGAGTTGACTTGTTGAGAGTTTCATTAAAATCTGTTCAGTGGTGGATGAGACAGTTGGCTAACAAGTACACAGACCCAGCCAAAAACAAGACCATCTGTTAACTAACTGCACATTATCTCCAAACCATGATACTTCCTACATTGTGCTTCTCAGTTAGTTTCCCCTTATTGGCCATCATCTTTAGCTATGAGCTGATTGTTTTCACCTGCCACTTGACAAGCATGTTCCCTGTTCCACTATAAACTCATGCGACTCTTAACGACCGTAACCATCAGCAGGTCTCGTGGCAACACTTTTGGAGCTGTTTTTTTTTTTTTTTGCATCACATGCTTTAAATGTTGGACTGTGCCGTGGGGCATTCGCCACTGGTTCTCTATTTACTGTGGTGTTGTCACAACAGCTTAGACTGGAAACTGAGTCTACACTGGGGAAAGCTAAGTTTGAGATTAGACATCAACACCTTATGAGTCCATGATTATCACCAAACTGTCAAATCACATTTAAAAGCATTAAAGCTGACTGACACCTTCTACAAATGCTTTGAAAACAGACATTAGGGTTAATACAATTGGTTAATATTAGAAACATAATTATCAACAGCTCTGATGTTTTCATGGAGCATCCCTAAAAGAGAAAATGTGTCAGAGCAAAATAAATTGGTTTTGTGATTATTTTAACACATAATATATCACATGATAATTAAACAATTAAGCTTTTAATTATTTTGGTCATGTCAACAAATTCAGCAAATATAAAAGTGACAGACTTGAAAAAATGTTATGATTTTATAGTTTTTTTTTTCTTCTCTAAAATGAAGGATGAAATAACGTACAGGGTGTTAGCAGGGGAAATGAGGTCCAGTTACAGTGGAATGTGAAAGTTTGGGCAACCTTGTTAATCTTCATGATTTTCCTGTATAAATTGTTGTCACGATAAAAAAAATCTAAGTTAAATAATAACATAGGAGACACACACAGTGATGTTTGAGAAGTGAAACGAAGTTTATAGGAATTACAGAAAGTGTGAAATAATTGTTTGAACATATTTAGGCAGGTGCATAAGGAAATGAACTCAATATTTAATAGATCCTCCTTTTGCAGAAAAAACAGCCTCTAAACACTTCCTATAGCTTCCAATGAGAGTCTGGATTCTGGCTGAAGGTATTCTGGAACATTCTTCTTTACTAAAAATCTCTGGTTCATTTAGGTCTGATGGCTTCTTCATGGACAGCTCTCTTTAACTCACACCACAGATTTTAAATAATATCCAGGTCTGGGGACTGAGATGGCCATCCCAGAACGTTCTGCTTGCTCCTCTGCAGGAATGCCTCAGTAGATGTTGAGCAGTATTTGGGGTCGTTGTCTTGTTGAAAGATTCAGCCCCGGTGCAGCTTCAGCTTTGTCACTGATTCCTGGACATTAGTCTCCAGAATCTGCTGATATTGAGTGGAATCCATGCGTCCCTCAACTTTAACAAGATTCTCAATCCCTGCACTGGCCACACAGCCCAGATCATGATGGAAATACCACCATGTTTTACTGTAGGTAGCAGGTGTTTATCTTGGAATGCCATGTTCTATTTCCTCCATGAATAATGCCGCTTGTTATTGCCATTTAATTTTAATTTTTTGTTATCTTTTATTTCATTCACAATGTATAAAATAAACAAACAAATACAGGATACATTAACATATTGAAAAAAAACATTTGAATGAAAAGGTGCAGATAGAAGAAAAAATCATGATTTCTGCCCCTTTTTACGAAATAAAATTATCCGCCAAACAAACAGTGTAACCTCAGTCACTTTCTAATATTTTCACGTCTAATCTTTGACATCATAATTCTCCTTTTCATAATTACTAAATACATTAGATTTTTTACATTTTTTAAATGTAGCAAGTGTAGTTGATTCTTTAAATTCCTTGTTAATGGCATTCCACAATCTTACACCATTTACAGAAATGTTACATTCCCTCACTTTGGTTCTGAATAGGTTTCTTAAAGACATCAGTTCCTTTTAACATGTACCCACTTACTCTCTTATGAAACATTTTCTGAATATTAGTTGGTAGATTACTCGTATTCGCTCTGTACATTATTTGCAATATTTTCCACTCTACCAAGTTAGAAAATTAAAGTATTTTGTATCTAATGAATAATTGATTAGTGTGATCTCTATACAGGTGCTGGCCAGTAAATTAGAATATCATCAAAAGGTTGAAAATATTTCAGTAATTCCATTCAAAACGTGAAACTTGTACATTATATTCATGCAATGCACACAGACCAATGTATTTCCGATGTTTATTACGTTTAATTTTGATATTTATAGGTGACAACCAATGAAAACATCAAATCTGGTATCTCAGAAAATTAGAATATTCTAAAGGCCAATGAAAAAATGTTTGTTTCTCTAATGTTGGCCAACTGAAAAGAATGAACATGAAAAGAATGTGCATGTATAGCACTCAATACTTAGTCGGGGCTCCTTTTGCCTCAATAACTGCAGTAATGCGGCGTGGCATGGACTCGATCAGTCTGTGGCACTGCTCAGGTGTTATGAGAGCCCAGGTTGCTCTGATAGTCGTCTTCAGCTCCTCTGCATTGTTGGGTCTAGCGTATTGCATCCTCCGCTTCACAATACCCCATAGATTTTCTATGGGGTTAAGGTCAGGCGAGTTTGCTGGCCAATCAAGGACAGGGATACCATGGTCCTTGAACCAGGTGCTGGTGGTTTTGGCACTGTGTGCAGGTGCCAAGTCCTGTTGAAAGGTGAAGTCTGCATCCCCATAAAGTTGGTCAGCAGCAGGAAGCATGAAGTGCTCTAAAACTTCCTGGTAGACGGCTGCATTGACCCTGGACCTCAGGAAACAGAGTGGGCCAACACCGGCAGATGACATGGCACCCCACACCATCACTGACGGTGGAAACTTTACACTGGACCTCATGCAACGTGGATTCTGTGCTTCTCCGCTCTTCCTCCAGACTCTGGGTCCTTGATTTCCAAAGGAAATGCAGAACTTGCTTTCATCAGAAAACATAACTTTGGACCACTCAGCATCAGTCCAGTCCTTTTTGTCCTTGGCCCAGGCGAGACGCTTCTTGCGCTGTTTCTTGTTCAAGAGTGGCTTGACACACGGAATGCGACACCTGAATCCCATGTCTTTCATGAGTCTCCTCGTGGTGGTTCTTGAAGCGCTGACTCCAGCTGCAGTCCACTCTTTGTGGATCTCCCCCACATTTTTGAATGGGTTTGTCGTCACAATTCTCTGCAGGGTGCGGTTATCCCTAGAGCTTGTACACTTTTTTCTACCACATTTTTTCCGTCCCTTCGCCTGTCTGTTAATGTGCTTGGACACAGAGCTCTGCGAACAGCCAGCTTCTTTAGCAATCACCTTTTGTGTCTTGCCCTCCTTGTGCAAGGTGTCAATGATTGTCTTTTGGACAGCTGTTAAGTCAGAAGTCTTCCCCATGATTGTGGTGCCTTCAAAACAAGACTGAGGGACCTTTTAAAGGCCTTTGCAGGTGTTTTGAGTAAACCAGCTGATTAGAGTGGCAGCAGGTGTCTTCTATATTCAGCCTTTTCAGAATATTCTAATTTTTTGAGATACCAAATTTGGAGTTTTCATTAGTTGTCACTTATGAATATCAAATTTAAATGTAATGAACATTGGAAATACATTGGTCTGTGTGCATTGCATGAATATAATGTACAAGTTTCACGTTTTGAATGGAATTACTGAAATATTTTCAACCTTTTGATGATATTCTAATTTACTGGCCAGCACCTGTAGTTACTGTTGTTAATGATTCTCAATGCTCTTTTTTGCAACATGAACAATGGTTGTGTAAAAGTTTTGCAAGTGGCTCCCCAAATTTCTAAACAATAAAATAAATATGGTTCAATCAGTGAGTGATACAATGTTAACAACCCCGACAAATTTAGTAGAAACTTGACTCTATATAATACACCTATGGCTTTGGCGATTTTCCCCTTTATATAACCTACATGTGATTTCCATGTGAGACTCTCATCTTTGAATTTCCATTCCATCTATCATTAAATATACATCACAGCTTCTTCTGTTATTAAACAATATAAAGTTTGTTTTGTTCAGGTTCAGTGACAGTCTATTTATATCAAACCATTTTTTAATTTTAATCAATTCACTGTTTATCACTTGAGTTACTTCATGTGCATTTAATCCTGAATAAAACAATGTAGTATCATCCGCAAATAAAACTGCCAAGTAAATTCGACACATTTACCAGGTCATTAATAAACAATATGAACAGTTTAGGTCCGAGGACTGACCCTTGTGGCACACCATAATAAATATCTTTTAATTCAGATTTTGCATTATTTATTTGAACAAACTGTTTTCTATTGCGTAAATAACTATTAACCCATTGATGCGCCACCCCTCTTATCCCATACCGGTGTAATTTAAGAAGTAACCTAGAATGATCAATGACATCAAATGCCTTTTTTAATTTAAGTTCAGCATCTAATTTAACTCCCAGGCTGGTGATAACAAACCCCTCAAACGGGGCCAGGGGAGACGTATCATAAAGGCCTGGCGTTAGGTTGGAACACAACAATTCCAGTTGATCTGGGTTTGAATTGAACCAGCAAAGCATTGTCTCAGTGATAAATACACCTGACAATCATCAGCATATAAAGCCTAATTTATACTTCTCTGTCAGCTCCACGAGGGAGGCACGCACACACAGACAGAGACGTTTTGCCTTCAGACTTCTTCGTCAAAGCAATTCCCCGCCAGAACAACAGAGGGCGTAGCCTTGTTCTTTGGCATCTGGTCCAAGATAGTGCGTTTATATAGTGTTTATACTGTGTTTTTTTGCATTTAAGGGACTTTTTAACACGAACAAATTTGTGTCTCATTCACCTCCACCTCTTCATGCGCTCACCACCTCGTTCTAAACACTTGTTTCCCATCATTTCCTTCCACAAATAAAATGCTTGGTGCGTATCACTCCTCATGACTTTTCACTCCTCCAGTCACGGGGGAATAAAACGTTCATATTTTTAGAGTTTTTCTGTGAGGGTTTCTTCAAGCTCCGTGTTTGCAGCTAGATATCTTCAGCTCTCCATGTTTTTGACGGCGCAATGGCAGCACTGGCGTCCCGACCAATCACAAGCTTGCGCTCTCAGTCTCGTCGGGCGGATGTTTAGAAAAGAGAGCTCGACTCCGTCCACCCTTGCGAGCCTGCTGGAGAGCCCTTGAAAGGACGGATAATGGTGTTGCGTGTGTCCGTTCCGGCGTAGACGGAGAAGTATAAATTAGGCTTAGGGGACATTTACCCCTGTGTTTGAGAAAAAGGGTGAGGAGGTAAAGAGAATAAAGCAGGGAACCAAGAATTGATCTTTGCGGTACACCCCAGTGAAGGTCAGTACTTATTGACAAAATGACCCATCCTAGCAGAAAAACTCCTCCCCAAAAAGGACTTGACTCGTTGTGGGGCAACTTCTTTCATGCTCACCCAGTTCTCCAGGAATATGACACTTTACCCACAGTAGACATCAAGAACATTTAGATACTGGGATTTTTTTATGCCCACTAATTATCAAAAAGAATCACCTGCCACCTGTAGTGCTTACATACAGCACCGCTGGGCAGGCACAGCGGGTTATTGAGGAGGAAACTACTAATCCTGTTAAAGAGGTCTTAGAATGGGGTCCGTGTCACCTTTGGTTTATAGGCTTTATTTAGTGTGACCAAAACTGTGTTTCAGAACCCTGGGATGCTGAAAGGAGTCCTACAGAAAGTCAACCCATTCAAGTCCACATCACAGGTAACCTCGGGGCTCCCGCTGATAATCTACGTCAGACCGGAGCATTGTTCACTCACCTGGATTTCTCTCATAGGTGTCTAACAAAACACCATCCGCGGAGTCACTGGAGCAGGGGAATGTTCCAGAATCGGCTCGGGTAGGAAAAGGCTCCGCCTGCCTGACATTTTTCCTTCATTTGTACAATTCTTTATGACTGTTTACTTTACAGTTTGATTCTAATCTCAACATTTCACCATATTTCTTGACATTTATACCTTTTAAAAGTAGACATTTTGACTTTATCATGGATATTTTAACTCATTACATTTCAACTTTTAGTTTCAAAACTAGAAATTAAAAAAAAATCTTCCCATTTAATCCTTTCTTCTGATTGGCCCCAAAATGCTGCTTTAGGACATGACTATTAACAAATTAACAAATAGCCTAAAAAGCCATCCCAGTTACAGGAAGTTTGCCAAGTTTCTTTTATAATTAACATTTTCGTGTTGAAGTTGCCAACAAGTGCTCTAGCTCATCCTCAAGAACCTGCAGTCCCCAAAGAGGCTGCTAATGAGCCTGAAAGCCAGCAGGTAAATACTTAGTTTGATCGTTGGCACTAATCTGTGTGCTACGCTGGGATTTAATCCAACACATGTGATTCATCTTCATCAGAATCCGGGGGCGATGAGGGGCCTGATTCAGAAAGTCAGCCCGTTCAGATCCTCCCAACCAAAGGTGCAGTGTGTTCTTATCTCTCTTTTTGTTTATTTTTTCTAAGATAGTGACTTGGGTTGTCACGGTAACCGGTATAGCGGTAAACCCCAGTAAAAAAGTTGACAATAAAAATAACCGTCCAGTTTTTAAAAAACTAAATTATCTCGGTGGGTTTGCCGTGGCCGCGGTTTCGGTGCGGTGACCCTTACCAGCCACCGTCGCTTCAGCTGAAGTTCCCGCGGCGCGCACACGCACTTTTTAGTTTGCAACGGCACCAAAACTTTGAAGCTGTAATAATGGCCGAAGGAGGAGACGGCAGCGCCCAGGACATCCATCAGCCCTCAAAGAAGACTAAATCGGAAGTATGGGCATATTTTGGATTTCTGAAAAATGCTGAGGGACAGTTAATAGAAGACTGCTATCCCGTTTGCAGAACGTGCAGGAAACAAGTGTCTGCAAAAGGCAGCAACACTTCGAATCTAATGGCACATCTGCGTGACCATCACCCACGTCTCTACAGCCAGTGCAAGGTAAGTTAACATTAGCATTTTAGCTTAAATGCATGACGTGAGGACTTTTGGCTGAGGGAGAATACAACGAGTCACTATATACTGCAGCCGCAGCGTCCTCTGCCAGCATTTAAACCGTGTCACGGACACCCTGTTGCTGGATGAAGCATCTTATTTGTTGATGATGAAGAGAAATATACAATTAGTTCCTTGTCATTGATTTGTTTACTTATTCAATGCCATTTATACTTGAACATTTGGATTTGATTACATAGTGTAGTAGTTATTTTAGTAATTTGTTTAAAGTGGCTATTTATTTTAAATACATATTTTTTTAAGGTTGACTTGTACAGTGCTCAAGTCAAGTGTGGACTGGAGTTTTAGATTTTCATTTTGATAATGAAGAAAACAAGTATATGAGAAAACAAGTGGTGTTTCTTTGATTTGTTTACAAATTGTTTATGTTTTGAATGTTTGGATTTGTTTAATTTAAACCTGCACTGACTACTGTAACATGTTCCAGAAAAAGAAGCTATTTGTTCCTTTACTTGTGAAAAGTTGCACTTTAGCTAAGGCTTTGTGTTATTTTAGGTTTAATAAACACTGTTAAACCTTTTCAGAACTATTTCAGTTTGTGTAGAACAGGACTATCAATGCTTTCTGAACATATGCAACACCGTTTAAAAAATGCCGCGATAATACCGAAAACCGTGATAATTTTGGTCACAATAACCGTGAGGTAACATTTTCATACCGTGACAACCCTAATAGTCACACAACATGGCCAAATTATTCCTTTAAGTATTCCCATCATGCTGAGTTTCTCCTTCATCTCTCAGGACATACAGCCTCTACATGGTGACGTCTCCTCCAGCAGCAGGAGCTTAGTGGACAACAGCAAGGTCTCAGAGAAAGAGGTCGCTGGATTCTACTAATTAATTTCCCTGCTTCCTATAGTTTATCAAAATAAAGTGGTAAAAAGTAAACAGACAGAAATAGTGGACAGTAGAATCAGCAGCTGATGGATGGAGATATGGAAATTATATCAACACCACTGAGTTTTATTTTGAACAACTGTTGTTTGAGACATTCTGTTTTAGTGTCGATGTGAAAAATGAATAGATCAACATAGTTCCTGTTGTGGCCACTAGAGGGCAGCAAAGTATATGTTTAAGTCTAAACAAGGACCGTTTCATAATTTATTTTTATCAATTTAACCAGATGAGTCGATTGAGAGCTCATTCTCATTTACGACGACGATCTGGCCAAGAGGCAGCAGCAACAGACACATAGCTGATAACTTTTTATAGAAAACATATGTTTGACCCTGTTTATTCTCTTTGGCCCTGTTGAACTGTAGCAGTTAAAAATGTTTAAAACACATCATGTGCTTTTTTATTTTTTATTGTAGAATCCTGGAGTGTTGAGAGGAATGATGCAGAAAGCAAACCCGTTTAGGTTAAACACAAAGGTAATCTGTATTTAGAGTCTCAAGACTTTTTTTTTATTCCACCTTTGTTATCTGGATTAGCTGGACCTCTTAGAAATACAAAATGATGTGCAATGGTCCCCCGTTTATCACGGGAGTTATGGTCTTAAAATTGCAGGTAACTTAACACTTCCACACTTTTCTCTCGTTTAAACACTGTCAAAGTTAAAATCTTTGTACGTTTGGAAGCAGAACACAATGCACTGTAAAAAAAAGGCATGAAAAATTGCACAAAAAATCTTTAAAACTGCGATGCCGCAAAAGGTGAACCGTGTTATAATGAAGGATGTGCAATGAGAGGTGGATCCAGGAAGTTGTACATAGGGTGGCAATGTTGGATCTCCTCATTGAAGAATGTGAAAATACCCTTTATGTTATCCATAGAAACACTTTAAACTATTTGTTATGTCATTATTTCTACTAAGAAAACAAAGACAATTTTTAGGTATAAATGGAGAAAAAGAGGTTCCATAAAATAAATACGGAAAACCAAACCAGAAAAACTAGGACTTTTTTAAGGTGTATTTTAAGGACTTGAAAGTAGGCTTAAAGCAGAAAACCTGAGTTTTTTGTTAGAGGACACCATCTAGAGGCAGAAAAATGTATTGCACCTTAAGCCCCTCCCCTAATTACAGCTAGAAGCAACACTTCTCGTTGGTGAACATGCACCGCTAGCTGGCCAGAGCTGCCCCGCCAAAAACAAGGTCACCACCTGGATTTAACAGAGCATAAAGGTACAAGCCTCCTATTGGATAATTACTGCATCTTTCGGTTGACAACAAGTTATTTAACCCCAACTGGTGCAGTGGGTTGCTTCTCCATTCTTAAAGCTGCTTTCCGAAGTTTTCTCCTTTCAGAAATTATGTATGATTTGTCAGAAATCCGTAAAAGTGATTATCTCATCATGTACTGTGATATAATGTAAGCAATACATCTTTTTTTTTTTTGCTAAGCACCCCCCTTCCCCTGCCCCCAGAGCTCCATGCAATGGGAAACTGAGCGCCGGCCAGAACTAACCAATAGCGTTAGACTACCGCTTACCTGCTTCATATTTAAGGAAGTACCTCAGCTGATGCAGAGTTGATGAACTTTTCATGGACAAGTAAGTCTCTAAAATATAAATATATGAGAACATAACGTGACATGAGAATAATACTCATAAAACAATGTGTTTTAGCTCCGTTTGTCGGCTACAGAAGCACCTTTATAACCAGAAACGTGAAGTCGCCATCTAAAAAAAAAAGATTTTTTGTGTGATATGCTTGTCAGCCACTAGATGGTGCCATCGGATAATAGAAATACTCCGGAAAGAAGCTTTAAACAACCATATGGAAAGACGCATCTGGTGGTCGTGGAAAAGATGTTAGTCTGTGCGAGAAGGGTCAGATCATTGGCGTGCGTCAAGCAGAGAAACATCTACGGAGATTGTAGAAAAGACTAAAACTGGGTTAAGAATTGTCCAACGCATCATTCAAAACTGGTCTAATGAGCAGAGTCCAGACCTTAACCCCATAGAAAGTTTTTGGGATGTGCTGGAGAAGGCTTTGTGCAGCGGTCAGACTCTACCATCATCAATGCAAGATCTTGGTGAAACATTAATGCAACACTTGATGGTAATAAATCTGGTGACGTTGCAGAAGCTTATCGAAACAATGCTACAGCAAATGTGTGTCGTAAGCAAAGCTAAAAGCGGTCCAACGAAATATTAGTTTTCTTCTTCGTAGCAATATATATATATCTATACCTACTTGCTCATAAGAAATGTCGACAACTCTGCTCTGTAACCAACAGCTGTATGTAAGTGTATCTCTACTGCTATTGGCTAATGCTGAGCGGCGCTCAATTCAATTCAATTCAAGTTTATTTATATAGCGCCAAATCACGACAAGCTCAATTCAGACTACTACTATTCTCCTACAGGTGGCAGAGACCAACTCGTCAGCTCCCGCTAACAAACCTGAGGTACAGAAAGCACTTTTTTCCTTCAATTAAATGTTTCTACGTTGATGATGCTTCTCTGTTATTCATGCAACTTCTCATCCATCAGGATGGAAACAGTGAGACCTCCAGCAGCTCTGAGAGCTTGGATGGTGGCACAATAGAAAAATATGTAAGAAAACGTGGAAACTACTTCTATATTTGACTGAATAATGTCCAGATGAAGATGAAATGTGAACTTTTTAGCTGCTCTATTGTGAGTAAACCAGCTATAGCGTTAGCTGAATTACTGTCTGATCTCATGACCTGCAAACATCACATTACACAGATCCAATAAGCCTGCACTTTTAGTGATGTGTATCAGTTATTGCACTTCATAGACAAACCCTTATGGGAAACACATAAAAGGTTGACTGGAATGTGGAATATCTCGTGTGTGTGTGATGCGGAACAAATACTAGTAATGTGGGACCTTTAGGGGAAATAAAGAAGCTTCAGGTAACTTTAAGAGGACTTTTCTTGTTTATGGTTTCATCTAATTAAATGTTATCTGTAGATTTAAAGTAAATATTCTCTCCAGACTATTTGGCATGCTGATGCAGACGCCAGCAGGGAGGTGAAAAGTCAAACCACGGAGATGCCGGTAAAAACCTAAATATACTGCCATTTTAACACACTTTTATATCAGCTGTCTCGCTGTGGCTAATTTGAATATTTATCCTTTTTTACAGACTTTTATTTTGAAAAGGATTCTTCCTACAGCGCTTTTCAGATCAGAAAAGAAGGTAAAACCAGTGAATTTCCTACATTTATTGTTGTAGATGTAGAGCCTATGCCTATCAGCTTGCTGCACGTCAAAAAGAGGAGTGATTATTCTCTGATCCCATTTGATATGTAAAGTAGCAGCTACACTGGGGAGAAGAGGTTCTGCAGTGGAGTCATACATATGACTTGTGTCTTTTTAGTTATACATTTTTACAAGCTAATGTCATGTGACAAACATGGTGGAAACACACATAATTATTTATTGTTTACATCGAAGTACAACGTGTGTGTGAGGTGTAAGGCAAAGTAGATAAGTTTTATAGCCCTTACATGATAGATGACTAGCACTTGTATGGCACCTTTCAGAGTCAGAGGACTCCAAAGCACTTTACACTACAGTGTCTGAACTTATAGGGCTTTCACATCTGGGTTATCTGTGATCAGCTGACAGGTATTTTAGACCTGCTCTACGGCGTTCAGCCGACCCAACACACCCGTTACCGACTGATTAGCTGGCTAAAGTTCATGCCTGCCTATAGAGAGACCCTCTGATTGGCAGGTAGAATCAGCCAGTCGAGGTTTTCCACATTCGTCATTCATCATCAGTCTGGATGCGGTGGGGTGAACGTCTTCCAGCCGTGGGACCATGAGGACAGTCTGCTGTGAGGAGCACGCAGCAGTCTTGGGGAGAGTGTAGGAAGCCAAGGGCATCATATCAGAGTTTCCAGAAGCAACACAGCTGGTCGCTGTGACATTTTTTTTCAAATACCTTTATTACAAACAGTTATTTGAAATAAATTTACATTTATTGCTGCTTTGTCTAAAAGTTTTAGAGCATCAACTAATCATCCTAAAATGAACTAATTTCATTAGAAAATACGTATTTTCAGAAAAAGAACTTGAGCCTTTTCTCCTGCAGCAATGACTTTTGGGTAATACCCTTGACCGAGGTCCACATCGCTGCGGACTTGGGTGAGGTGCAGATTAAGGGTGCAATGGGGTCATGGTCAACTTCCGCACTTGAGAATCAGGACACCCTACGCACTCGCACCCCTGACCGGGAACGCGCAATTGAAGGGCATAAGGGTGCAAGTGCGAGTATTTGGATTGGGCCTTAGACCCGCTGCCATGTATTTTAGACCTGATATTTATGGTTATATGTTATGAAACTGCCAATATTTTTTCAACAACTGGGTATCTTTTAATTCACTTACAACAACATTTCGATGGATATTTCTAGAGATTAATGGTAAAAACTACACATTTAAATAAACTATTCCAGAGAAATAATTTTAACATAAGTGGTGTCTGGAGCTGTAACCAATCTTGAAATAATCTCTCTAATTCCTAGAATGATATAAGTACATTTTTCTAAACTTCTCTCTGAATACTTTCTGGAAAATGTGATTTTGAGGCTCTTAATTTGAAGGCTTGAATGAATTTCACCTCAGAGTGATACTTATGATTATTTAGTTTAGCCAGTAAAAGCACAGTCATAAACATAAATCAGATTAAAAATGAATGCATTTGACTGTTCTTGAAATATTCTACAAGTTGGACTTTTTACCTATAATTAAACTTCATCTCTACTTAATTCTGGACAGTTTTTGACATTTTTGATTAAAATAAAATGAGAAAATTGCAAAAAGAATTTTCTCCCACATGCCTCAGTTCTCTACAGCGTTATATAATCCAGATAGACTGATTTACCAGCATTAATTATATAACTCCACCCTGCTAATTATGATAGACTCTTCCAGTAAATAAACGAGTTATGCTTGTTTATATAGTGTGTTCTTTGCTAACAATCCATGCAAGAGCTTCTCTGACTAAAGGATGTTCTGTTATAAAGATCAGACCTTGTCTTTTATCTTGTTTAAAATAAAAATAACATCTTGTTCGAGCTTGACCCCGTGCTTGTGTCACAGGGATGTTTTAGTGTTTTTTTTTCCCCATCTTGGGTTACTGTGTACTTCCTGGTGCATCTCGCATACCTCGGTAACAAAACCTCCTATATCTTTTTCTTCAAAGGCTATAATTATTATGACAGGTGATGAGGTAAAGATGATTTTCTCTTTGTGACACAAACTTACAACGTTATGAAGTGCTCCACGGAAACATAAAAGGTGATTTCTCTGTGAGCCGCGTTTTGAATACCGATCAGTAGGAGTAAATGGCACGAAAGGCCTTTGCAGTGACACAAGTTGAATAGTTTTTTAAACTGCGTCTCTGGTTATGATGCAGTTGAAGGGATTTCTTTGGCCATTTTGAAGCGTTTCTGTATAAAGGTTATCTATAGTGTTAAGGGTACAGCGGTAAGCATAGGTTAGGTGTGTATCGCAGTTTTGGGTTAGGGTTCAACATCTTAGCAGTACAAAAAAATTCCCTTTAACTGTTTATTAGTCACCCACAAATTGTAATTCTTTATATTTGTTCTTAGGTTGAATCAGGAACTTTTACGACCTTGTTGTATGTAACTCCTGGATGGGATCTATTTGGCTACCTGTAATCTGCTTTAACTTCCGATTACAAAAAGTATATACATGAAATGTGGTCATGTGTTTACATCAGCAGCACTTCCATTAAATCTGGTTTAAAGGTTTTCAGATAAACCGCCACTCTGATATTTAGGACTTTGGACAATTAGTTTTACTCTGCTTTGGCCTCAGCACTCCGACTATAGCGCCCTATGCTTGTAGGAGGTGATGAACATTTTTAAAATGATACTGTATATTAGCAGTTAAATGGAAGAGAACGGCAATCACAAATGAAACGCCTTTAAATCCCTCTAATGAGGCTAGTTTTATCATTTTTGAACTAACTGAAGACTCGGTGGACTCCTGAGCAACCAGAAGTCAAAGCACCAGTGGGCAACAGCAAGGATGTGACTCATGAGATCAGCTGTTCGAAGCTTTTGAGCATCAGGTTATGATGTTGACATTTCTGGATTGAGTAACTTGGATGATATATAAGAATGGTAAATGACATGTAGAAGTTCAAAAGTGAAAGGAATAGATTATTCGTTTTTTTTATTTGCTGTTGCTACAGACCTTTGATGTTCTAAACTCAAACAAATACTCATAAAAATATCACAGAAACCACTGCTCTCTATATAGGCTTAATTAAACATTTCTTCTGTCATGTATCACTAAGACATGTTCAGCTTTTTTTTTTTTTTGTCTCTTAGGAAGAGAAAGTTGAAGTTCAAACACTCCAGCTTGCTGAAGTACCCATACCAGGTGAAGGGACACGGCTGGAACCTCTGGATGTACGTTTATGGTGCTTATGTCTGAATCAGAATAATTCAGCACATCTGGGTTTGACCCTTTAATGTCCACACAGAGAAACAGACAGGTTAAAATATCGTTTAAGGTCATTTGTGAGGGAAAATCACTTGACTTATAATTCAAATTTCTCTATATTGGGACAGTTTTGTAGTTCATTGGCTATTTTTCCACTTAAAGGAGTAACATATAAAAATTTTACAGTGGCATAAGCACAAAACAGTCTAATGTCTCAATCATTTTGAAAGAAAAGTTGCATTGTGACACTTGTTTATTTTTAAGCATGGACTGCAGTACTCAGTTTTGACCACAGGATGTCATTCTTCTTTCATGCACCTTTAAGTTAAAGGCATGCTTTAATGAGATGTATGGAGTAAACAGAACATTGATGAGTCTGGAAACAATTCCTTTTCAGGATGAAGACGGCCTCTTGGCATGGTGGGGAACTGTTCAAGGTGAGTTAGATTTCTTGGCAATGCTCTTTATTTCAAATGAAACTAATGCCTTGGCATTAACAATTTGGTGTTGCAGGATGGGATGAGTGGAACCAAGCAAACCAAGATGATGAAGCTGAAGAGTATGTAAAAGGAATGACTCAGATTTAACTTTCAAGTATTTAAAATAGAGTATAGAGCATGCTTTTGGTTGTCATTTTAATGTATTTTTTTAAAATCTCCAATCCTTTTGCTAGAGTGGTTGAACAGGCTGCTGATCGAGTGTTCCTGGCCAGTCGTCTTTTTGTCCGTTTATTCAATCAGAGGGGCGCGTCGCTCCAGCAGCGCATCCTGGAGCTCCTTAACTTGGCCGACGCCGCCGACAACTTCCACATGAAAACTGTCACAGCCAGTGTGGGTGGAGGGTTGGCGAGCGTGGCTGGGTCTGTCACTACCATCACTGGCCTAATCCTGGCTCCATTTACAGCGGGAACGTCGCTCATTGTCACGGCGGTGGGTATCAGCATAGCTACAGCAGGTGGTCTGACGTCCGCGTCGGCCAACATCACAGACACGGTCCATTCAAAGACGGACCGAAAGAAGGTGGAGAAGATGATTCAAGATTACCAGAGAGAGATAAAGGACATCAAAGAGTGCCTAGACTTTTTACAGGTGAGAACATGCAGACAAGGTTGTTGATACCATTTCACAATGCAAACATTTTCCAAGCTCTTACAAACTAGGATTTCGATATTAAATTCTCCTAAAACTCTGTACTGGAGTGTTTCTAATTGAAATACAGAAACTCATTAAAATGACTTGACATTAAGAACCTAAAATCTTATTGCTTTTTTTCTGATTATCTACCTTGCAGAAAGGGATGGAAACACTCGAAGATTGGAACTTTGAGAAATACACAGAAAGCATCTCAAACAAGTACTTAAACCAGAATGTCAAGCACGTCATGAAGGAGGGTGGTCGAGCCGGCAAAGCTTTAGTGATAAACACCGAGACCCTGATCAATACCGTCCAGGTCCTTGGTGTCGCTGGTGGCGCTGCTAAAGCCGCTCAGGTGATAAGCGTCACTACCGGAGTGATGTCTGGTCTCTTCTTGGCCCTTGACATGTTTTTCCTGGCAAAGGACTCCATGGAACTAAAGAAGGGAGCCAAGACTGAGTTTGCTGCTAAGATCCGGGAGGTTTGTAAGGACCTTCAGGATGGTCTGCTGGAGCTGAACAGAATCAAAGAAGAGCTGCAGAAAACTATGGAAGGGATAGAGGTGGAGGTTGAAGAGGAAAATGAAGAGTCGTTGAAGTCTGATTTGAAGAAACTTAAAATTAAAGAATAGTTTTCAAGCAGCTTAAACCAAAACCATCGAGACCTAAAAATCAAAAGCAATCAACAAGCAATATAGTGTCAAGGAACTCTGACAATCTTCTTCTGTTCACCATCTTACCACAGGAGTCCCCAGGGCTCAGTACTGGGACCTCTTCTCTTTGCCATATACACCACATCACTAAGTGAGATAATTCGATCGCATGGCTTCTACCACTGCTACGCCGATGACACCCGATGTCATTCCCACCTGATAACCTCACAATCTCTGCACAAATCTCGGACTGTCTTTCTGACATATCAAGATGGATGAAATCCCATCATCTCCAGCTCAACCTCACGAAAACTGAATTACTTGTCATCCCAGCAAAACCATCCATACGACACTATATCTCAATCCAAAATGATTCCATATCTCTGGCTCCTTCAAAGGCAGTTTGAAACTTGGGTGTTGTGATTGATGACCGGCTGACCTTTAAAGATCATGTTGCCTCATGTTGCCTGGCCACTCCGGTCATCAAAGGATCGTCGGCTAGCAGTGCCTACACCACGCTCAGGACAATCCAGACTCTTCCTTGTCGATTTTCAAGAAACTCCTGAAGACCCTGCTCGTCCGAGAGCATCTTCTAAACTAGCACCCTCCCAGCACCTGTTGCACACTCCATGTTTACCTCCCTCTATGATTGATTATGCTGCCTCACTGCAATCTAGGATGTACACACCCACATCACCCCGCTTCTCCTCCAGCTTCACTGGCTGCCAGTCAACTTCAGGGTTCATTTCAAGATCCTGGTTCTGGTCTATAGGGCCTTACATGGACAAGCACCATCTTACATTGTTGATCTTCTTAGTCCCTACACCCCCAGCAGGTCCCTGAGGTCCAGTGATCAAAGTCTACTGGTTGTGTAGCACCAGGCTAAAGACCAAAGGTGACAGATCATTTGCTGCTGTGGCCCCCAGACTCTGGAACTCTCTCCCCCTGAGCCTGAGATCAGTGGACTCAGTGGTCTCCTTCAAAAAGCAGCTGAAGACTCACTTGTTCAAGCTGGCTTTTGTATGACCTTCTTCAACCCCTCTCTCTTTATTCTGCTCTCCCCACCTATTCCACCTTCCTCAGGATCCACTGATTTCCCAATTTCCTATTCACTCTCTCTCTCTTTCTTAACATTTTTTTAAATCACAATTGCCTATTTTTGCTCATTTTAAATATATTTTTAAACATTTTCTAAATGCCTTTTTATATTTTTACATTTTTTGTTTTTGCGAAGCGCCTCGTGATTTTTACCTTGAGGCGCTATAGAAATGATATTTTCTTCTTCTTATACTGAATAGTGTTTGCTGTTGGCCCCAAGGGCAGCCTGACAGCTTGATTATCACCTGTAAGTTGCTTTGGACAAAAACGTCTGCTAAATACATAAACATAAACTCGTAGTTTTCACTGTTACTGTTTCTGCATTTCACCCCGTAAGAACCCCGGTGTCACAGCCCATTTCAAGCATCTGCAAAATATGTGATGTACTATCCATATATTTATCAAAAATGATTTAACTTCTTTTTTTTCTGGAATTAATGTATTTATTCCAATCTGTTTTCTATTTTAAAAGGAGCTAAGGTAAAAATTTTAAAAAGTAGTTCTTTATTACTAAAGAATTCTATGTATAGATCGTTTAATGTTCTTCACCAGCTGTTACTTTATGGTGGATTTCTGTTTTCTCTAATAAAAACAGACTTGTTTACCTGCCTGTTCGTCATAAGACAGGGCCGTGGTGAAACGCTGGGACCTGTTACTTGGCAGAGGAAGGACATGGTTTAGAGGTAAAATATGCGCGTGGATAAGGTGTGCTCTCCGTGTGCTCACACTGTGGCTGTATGCATGAGCAATGGAAAATTGTAGACAAACCTCATTCTTAAATTCCTTTTGCATAAATCGGAATCTCCCTTTTCAGATGTGCCCAAGCAGTTTGGTACATGAAAGAGCTCCGAATACCTTGTCGACGGATGACTAATGATTCCCGTACCCTTGATTGACAAACTATGTCTGATGAATGTCAGCCTAACATTTCTCTAACCTTGCTTTAAATGAAACATGCAGGTTAGATGAAGGCAATGTCTTTGATTTTTAGGCATTTAAGGATTAATTTACATGTCGTATTTCAGCAGCAATCCAAAGTAAAATACACAAATTTAAAGAAACTTTAACCTGACACCACCACCAACTACAGCAGTTATTTTTACAGGAACTTCTCCAAAAGTTTAACTTGTCATCGCCAGCAGCTAAAATTGTTGAAAGAACAACATAAATTCAAAAGACAGATCAAAGAAGCAATCAAGATAAGGAGACATGGATCCAGGGCCATGAACAGAGATGGAGTATACACGCTGGACCAGTCATGGGACATTGTGATCAACGGAGAAGACACGGGTAGTACAGGGCAATTTCGTCCTCTGCTGATAAACAGAAGTGACACCTCCAACATCGGTGATAGCTCTGATGAAGGTGGCAGTAGACGTCTAAACGTGCCAGCAAAGGTAAAAACGAAGCTTTTTTTGCACTGTATGATGAAGAACCACAAAAAAAAAAACATGGTGATTGAGAAGTCTTAATTTAAAAAAAGAGTTCTCAGCGAGATTTTCAGCGATGGGCTAATGGGTGATGATGAAACCAGCGATAAAGATCTGAGGATGAGGTATCTTAATCTGCTCCAGCAGCTAAATAAACTGTTTAAGATAACGTTAGCTTGACAGTTAAGGTTTTGTTTTACATAGCTAATGGTGCGTTCACTTTCTCCTCAGAAATTCCTTCTTCCGAGTAGGAAAAATAAACAGTTTGAGAATGAACGGCAAAAGGAACGAAGATACACAGTATATTTAGTTCACAGCAAAGATGTTTGCTTCAGTGTAATTTGTAGTTTATAAAACTACAAGGACCCACCATCACACAGTTTGTCCAGATGAGAAAGGAGAGGAAAAGGAGTACATTAAGCTGGGTTTAGTTTGTGGAATACCACAATATTATAATAAAAACTGCTGTACGGTATCAAAGTTTGTTTTAGTTTCATTTGTAGTTCATAATATATGGTCTTCTCATCAGAGTTATTCCAGAGGGCATAGAAGAGGATTAGGAGTACATGGAGCTGGGTTTGTTTTTGCATGATTTAGAAACAGTTGTTGTTAAAGGTTTTCATAATGAAGAATTTTATACAACACTATGGTGAAAAAATACAAACAGTTGTATCATGATATTTATCAAATATGGTTATATATTGGAAAAATAATATATATGTAATTAAAAAAGTGATTTAAATAATTATTTAACAGTCAAAAGTATCAAAAATTGGTACCGTTATGTATCGGTATCGATTCGTAGGTACTGGGAATTGGCACAGTATCGATTCAAATGACAAAGGTACACATCCCTATTTACCACCGCAAAACTAAGTCTTACACCCAGGGCCGCTTCAAGGGTACACAACATGACATCAGGACTTAACTACCTAAGGGCAAGTGCTCATCAAGAACTTATGAAAAAACGAGATATTCAAACTTTACCACTGACAAACCAGCTCTCTGCGATATTGTCACTCATTATATAAACTAACCTTTCCAACTGGATGTTTATCTTTTGGTTATAGCTTGAGGAAAAAACACATTGTTCAGAACTGAATGTTGAACAGTCACCGTCATGGGAGGGTCAAACTTATTAACTGTAACTGTCTATTTTGCTTAATGAGCTGAAATCACCATTGCATACCTATCCTCCTACCTCCCAAGGAGTTGTTGATGCCGTTAGGTCTTAGTGTGTCAGAATGGTCATTTTAATCAGATGAGGATGGTGTGACCTAGACTGAAACTGTTTTTGAATTAGGTTCAGAGCTGCATTGTAGGTTCTGGAAAGGTGAAATATGAGGCCTCCTCCTATGTTTAATGTAGGTCTTTAACATTTGACATAGATTGCTTCCTTTACTCCTCTCTCAAACCATCTATCTTCTCTGTCCAGAATGTGTACTTCGACATCTTCAAAGTGTGTCCCTTGTCCTTCAGGTGTAGGTGGACTGCAGAGTCTTGACTTGAAGAGGTGGTGCTCCATGCTCTTGTGTAATTGTTGTTGAGTTTCGTGGACGGGAAAGAACTACACCAACAGATGAGGAGGCCTTGTGCTTTCACCTTTCCAGTACCTACAATGCAGCTCTATGCGTAATTCCAAAACATTTTCAGTATAGGTCACACCGTCCTGCATCTAATCAAAACAACCATTCCAATAGGATTAATGATATCAATGACTCCACAGGGAAAGGGAGGAGGGGTATTCATATGTAGTTTCAGCTAGTTAAGCAACAACAGACAGTTGCAGTTTACGAGCTCGACCCCTCCATATTCCAGTCTGATTTGACAAAGCTCCTCGGATGAGAAGTTAAACGCCTTCAAGAAATCTTTGGAGTATATAAATTAATAATAAATGTTTTTTAGACATAATTGTTAGATTATATTGTTTGCTGATGAAAATCTCCTTCGAGCTTAAGTAACTCAAGAAAATGTAGTCACAGTTAAAACCTGCATCTAGTCAATGACTAATAAAGTAGGGGTGCAGCTAAAGAAAAGCAACGAACAAGCCTTGGTTTTGTGTTGTGTTTTGTATATCTAATCCTGGCTGGTTACAAGCATAATGTAAGGCTGCTTTGACATGTCATGGTTTCAAAAGCACTAAACCCTCTACGATTATACACACCCTAAAATTGCTGTGACACTTTTAAAAAAGAAAATTAAGATATTTCAGATGTGTCAGGTGTCCCGTGTCTTACAGTTTAAATAGTGACAGGTGCTGATCAGGTCTCAGGCTTTCACCTGCAAGTCTCTTGGATACATCAGAGACAGAGAAACTACGAGTCGTACCTGAGAATAAAATCTACAAAGGATCTTCATACTAGGAAAATCTTTTTGCCCCAGGATTTACTTCATCCATTTTTTGCATTGAAGTCAGAGGAATCAACAGGTATTTTTCTTAACTGAATTAAATGTTGACAGTTTTGTTTATGTAAAATAGATTATTAAGAAAAATTGACAAGTCATTTTCATAATATATTTACAATACTTTGACTCTTGTAAAAGATTTATCTCTTTATTGCTAGGTTTTTGTAATTTTAATTGGATATACTTTACAAAATGATTGTTTTAAATATTGGTTTAATTCATACCATAAAAAAGTATTTTAATATTAATCTCAATTACACAAAAGAAGGATTTGTATCCAAATAATGTTTATTTTATAGAGGAATCTTCATGTAATTAAGTTCATTTATTTCAGTAATTGAACCTAACAGGTGAAATTAATATACAAGATTCATTACATGGAAAGTGAGAAATTTAAAGACTTTATTTGTTATAATTTTGATGAATATGGCATACAGCTCATGAAAACCCCAAATACTAAATCTCATTCAATTAATATATTGCGAAAAGGTTCAATATTCTAGGAAGATGGTTCTTGAGCCTTTAAGTAAGTAAGTACATTTTATTTCTATAGCACTTATCACAGACATAGAATCACAAAGTGCTTCACATAGATCAAAACAAAATAAAGTCATAAAATCATAGATAGATTAACATTATATCATCAAAATGCTCTCCAAACAGAATTAGATTAACATCAGAAAAAATAAAGTCATTAAATTATAAATTTCCATAAACAGATAAAAGATTAAAAATTTGAGTTAAAAATAAGAAAATAAAAGGTTTAGTTAAAAGCAGCTTTAAAATAAAAGGGTCTATAGCTGTTTTTTAAAAGTGTCCACACTGTCAATGCTGTGTACGGATAAAGGATGATCATTCCAGAGTTGGGGTGCAACAGTCTGGAAGGAGCGATCACCTTGACTTTTGTATCTGGTCTTTGGAACTTCTAGAAGGTTCTGGTGTGTGGACCTGAGAGCTCGGTTTGGAGCATAAGGCTTTAACAGTTCAGTAATATAGGGAGGAACATGACCATGTAGAGCATTGAAAGTTATAATCAGGATTCTAACATGCTCTATTGGGTAACCAGTGGAGAGACATTAGAATAGGAGTGACTTGTGCTCTTCTGTTTGCTCCAGTTAGGAGCCTCGCTGCAGAGTTCATGCAGCATGAGTTAAATGGTCTCTCAGTCTAAGATGAATCATTGAAATAATTGAACATTTGCATGATATTCATATTTTTTGAGTTCCATCTCTATATTGACCAAATATTTGTTGATCAGTGGCTTTACCAATTGTAAGATTTAGAAATGTCACATTGCTAAATATTCTCGCTGAAATCTACAGGTCTCAAAATTAAGTGAAGCAAAAGGTTTATCCTTTCATAAAACCATATGTTCCTTCTATGTAGGTATGGATTACAGACTGATCCTCAGTGTCCTATTTGTGACTACCAATCTCACCATAGCTACAACCACTACAGAGGCATCAGCAGTTGGGACCAATTCTGCCATATCAACTTCTTCAACATTAACAGTGGGGTCTGCTGGGTTAACAAATCCCACCAGTTCAACAGTTGCAAACACTACAACTGGGTTAGCAGTGGCGACCAATCCTGCCATGTCAACAACTACAACAATGGCGGGGTATTCTGAAGCAACCAGTCCCTCCAGTTTAACGACTACAACAACAGGAGGTTCATCTTTGGCAACCAATAACACAATATCAACAGCAACAGCTGGGTTTATTGGGCAAATACATCCCATCAGTTCAACAGCTACAATCACCACAGGTGGGTCAGCAATTGCAACCAATTCTGCCACGTCAACAACTACAACAACAATTGGGTCAGTTGGGGCAACTAATATTGCAATTTTAACAACAATAATAGGGTCAACTGGTGCAACCAATCCTACAACAATGGCAGGGTCTCATGAAGCAACCAGTCCCAACGGTTCAACAAGTACAGCAGTACTGGGGTCAGTTGGTGCAATCAACTTTGCATCATCATCAGTTACAACAACAACAACAACATTGGGGTCTGCTTGGGTGACAAATTCTGCCATAACAACTACTACAACAACAACTGGGCCAGCAATGGCAACCAATCCCGCCATGTCAACAATTACAACCACTAAAGGGATTTCAGCTGGGGCAACAAATCTTGACACATCCACAACAAAAACAACAATGGCATCAGCTACTGCAACCAATCTTGCCATCTCAACAACTACAATGCCAGCTGGGTCATTTGGGGCAACCAATAATGCTATGTCAACAACAACAATAGCAGGGTCAGCTGGTGCAACCAATCCTGCCATGTCAACAACTACAAACACAGCAGGGTCTACGGGGGCAACCAATCCTGCCAGTTCAACAATTACAACCACTACAGGGGGGTCAACCGGGGCAACAAATCTTGCAATTTCTGCAACAATCGTGGGGTCCTCTGGGGCAATCAATCCCACCAGTTCAACAACGACAACAACTACAGAAGGGTCAACTGGCGCAACCAATCTTGCCATTTCAACAAGTAGAACAGCAACTGGATCAGTTGGGGCAACCAATCCCACCAGTTCAACTACTACAGGCGGATCCGCTGGTGCAACCAATCTTGCCATGTCAACAACTACCAAAACAACAGGGTCTTCTGGGGAAACCAATCTAACCAGTTTAAAAACTACAACTACTACAGAGGGGCCAGCCAGTGCAACCAATCGTGCCATTTCAAAAACCACAAAAACAGCAGGGTCTATGGGGGCAACCAATCTTGCCAGTTCAGCAACTACAACTACTACAGGGGGGTCAGCTGGAGCTACAAATAGTACCATGTCAGCAACAAAAGCAACAGTGGGGTTCTCTGGGGTAACCAATCCCACCAGTTCAACAACTACAACTACTACTGCAGGGCCAGCTGGTGCAACCGATACCTCAACAAGTAGAGCAACAGCTGGGTCAATTGGGACAACCAATTCCACCAGTTCAACAACTACAACCACTACAGGGGGGTCAGCTGGAGCTACAAATATTATGTCAGCAACAAAAACAACAGTGGGCTTCTCTGGGGCAACCAATCCCACCAGTTCAACAACTACTATTGCAGGGCCAGTTGGTGCAACCAATACTACCTCAACTAGTAGAACAACAGCTGGGTCGGTTGGGGCAACCAATCCCACCAGTTCAACAACTACAACCACAGGGGGGTCAGTTGGTGCAACCGATACCTCAACAAGTAGAACAACAGCTGGATCAGTTGGGGCAACCAATCCCACCAGTTCAACAACTACAACCACTACAGGGGGGTCAGCTGGAGCTACAAATATTATTATGTCAGCAACAAAAACAACAGTGGGCTTCTCTGGGGCAACCAATCCCACCAGTTCAACAACTACAACTACTCCAGCAGGGCCAGCTGGTACAACCGATACTACCTCAAGTAGAACAACAGCTGGGTCAGTTGGGGCAACCAATTCCGCCAGTTCAACAACTACAGCAGGGCTAGCTGGTGCAACCAATACTACCTCAACTAGTAGAACAACAGCTGGGTCAGTTGGGGCAACCAATCCCACCAGTTCAACAACTACAACCATTACAGGGGGGTCAGCTGGAGCTACAAATATTATGTCAGCAACAAAAATAACTGTGGGCTTCTCTGGGGCAACCAATCCCACCAGTTCAACAACTACTACAGCAGTGCCAGTTGGTGCAACCAATACTACCTCAACAAGTAGAACAACAGCTGGGTCAGTTGGGGCAACCAATCCCACCAGTTCAACAACTACAACCACTGCAGGGGGGTCAGCTGGTGCAATCAATTATTCCATGTCAACAATTACAACTACAGGGTCAAATGGGCTGATCAGTGCAACCACATCAGTACCAGGAAACACTACAGCAACAGCTTTGGCAACATCTTCAATCCCAGTATCAATTCTTGTGGTGAGGGTTTCAATTCAATTCAGTTTAATTGTATAGAGTCAAATCATGACAAGAGTCGTCTAAAGGCACTTCACAAAGTAAACATTCTAATACAGTTCAGTTCATTAGGCCAATCAGTAAAAAGTTTCCTATATAAGGGATCTAAAATACACAAATTGATTTTAATTGATAAAAGTCCTATGGTCATCAAAAATATGTTAAAGTTCTTCACACAAATTCCCTCTCATTTAGCAATTTAAGCAGCTTTATTGTTGAGATTTTGAGTACGTTCCAGAAAGAGTCATTTCAGGCTCTGTCACTAAAGCTGTTTTTACAGGGCCATAAGCGTTTGCAAAACGGGATTTGCCGCGGCTCCCTGGGAAGGATTTTGGCATTTATAGTGGCAAAGCTGAAGCTAGAATAAACTACTATCAGGCACCTCTCAAACCAAGATGGGATGAAGGGAGGTCGCTGGGCGGCCTCCCTGCATGTGACGTACAGGGTCGCGCATTCAGCGTCAGACGAAGATACGTCAGACTGATGAAATTTCTTTTTCAGGACCTTTAGCTTTGATGTGACCTGCTTTTTATCCCGCTTGATGCCCCGCTCAGCCAGTGTTTTCACCACTCTGTCGAACAGCTGGCTGTCTCTCACCGTCCCCGTAAAAAGGCGACACTCTGTAATGACGCGATGGTCTGTCTTATAAAAGAGGGTTAATAGGCCTTTTCCAGCGGCACTACTCAGCACGAGTGGGGAGGGTTTGATTCAGTCTGGCCTCTTTCCCCCAACAGCACTGTTTGGTATTTTCCCCCTACTCTTAAGTCCCTGTTCTGTTGTGGTTCCAAGGGCTGAGCCATGCTGACATCACGACTGTTGACTGCTGATTGGCTGGGGCGGATTCACTGGTTTCTCCAGTTTTCTGGCTGATGCTTCTGCAGTCATTTCCTGGTTCAGAGTCTGAAAAAATGCCATAAAACTGAGCTGAATGTTCAACATCACCATTTTTGTGCTAAGCTGTGTTTCTGTGTAGCATACAATGTTGGGCATCTTACACTGAAAAAGTAATTAGTTATAGTTACAAATTAATTTTTCCTAAAAGTAAATGAGTTAGTAACTCAGTTACCACATTGTAAAAGTAATTAGTTACTTAGTAAAGTAACTGTGACATTACTTTTGTGTGACCTTTGTCATCACCCTCTTCTTACTCTGCTCTTATTCCACCTTTCCCGAGATCCACCGATTTCCCTCTTTCCTATTCATTGTCTCACTCCCTTTCCTGACATTTTTAATCAAAAACATTTTTCTTCTCATTTTAAACATATTTTTAATAAGTTTTTATGTTTAAATTTTTTGTTTTCATGAAGCGCCTCGTGATTTTTACCTTGAGAGGTGCTATATAAAAGATAGTTTTCTTTCTTTCTATATGTTCGAACAGTTAAGTTCTATAATATCTATAACGTAAAAGACTTTTGTAACTGAATGTTGTATCTAGAATGAATATTTCCAACATCTGATTTGTTCGTTCAGTAAGGATAGTACAGGCCAAAAGTTTGGACACACCTTCTCATCCAACTGAAAACATGTTTTATATTATATTTTCTTCTAAATAGCAACCCTTTGCTTTGATTACTGCTTTGCACACTCTTGAGCTTCAAGAGGTAGTCACCTGGACTGGTTTTCCAACAGTCTTGACAGACTTGAAGCTCATCGAGAGAATGCCAAGAGAAGGTGTGTCCCAACTTTTGGCCTGTACTGTATGTTCGTATGGATATCTGGAATGTTAATTTCTACTAGGAACAATGGAATTATAGATATCTGGAACAGATTTCTAGTCAGCCTAATAAATGTTAAAAAGGCCACCTTATGTTTTTGGATTCTGAGGGAAAAAAAGAGGAGAAATTAATTAATGAATTGCTAGTGCAGTACTAGAATAAATTAAATGAAAACCTATATAAAAACGAAAATACAGAGCGGTACCATAGCTGATTAAATTATAAGGGCTTGCCATTGTGTGCAGTACTCTTGCCTGTCCTGCAGCCATTTCATGCATCACCAACACATCACCAGGGTGCTTGTCAGAAAGCGTGTTTCCACTGCGCTTTATCCAGCCACATTGTAGTAAAGCGCCACTTTACATGCCCAGTAACGGTACTGGCATTGCAACGATGGGAAATCTAATTCATTGCATTACTTTGTTGTCTAGAAACTAACGCCTTTATTAATGTCGTTAGACTTAGAGTCCGTTACAACACCGAATACAGGTCACCTCACACTGTTTACTAATCACCTTGTGCTATTTTTGTCTTGAGAAAAGATTAGGGAGCTTTAAATCCTTCTTCCAGGACAAAAGGAGCAATAAACGTAAGGAAAACCACCATACATGACACGTTTGATCTGTAGTTGTTTTAATTATTCAGTTTTACTCTAATAAATCTTAAATCACATTTCATAGTAGAAACAGTCATAATTACTTTTCATTTAAACTGAACTACAACATATGTGTTAGAATATAGCTTTCATAGTCCCGTTGACTTGCATAATTTTTCTCTTTGTTTCGGGGACCCAAGGGCCGACCTGAAGGGGAGGAGACTCCCTATACGGCTCCCTATAAGATGAGAAACTCAGATTATCGGGAGGGAGGGACTCCAGTAGAGCGGCTGCTCCTACAGAAGCAACTGATCTCCTCCTGGTTCTGTACTAATTGCTTATTGAAAGGACTTGTTTTAGGCACATAAATCCTAAAGCCAACAAGGGGGAAACAGATTGATAGGGGTTTTCATGCTTGGTGTGATTGTAGAGTCAGTAGAGACACACATGGCAGCACAAAGGGATACAAAAAGGTACAGTTTGCATTATGTCCCTTTTAAATATTTTTGTTGTCTTTGCAGGACACTGTCACAACAAGTGATTGTGGTTCCAAAAAGCTTTGTGTTGCTGAACCCAACACATGTGACCCGTCTGCAGGAAATCAGTGTTATTTTGTTTCTGCCAAGCAGCAGAGTGGTCAGTTGTACGACTTTGAGCTCTCAGGACAGTCAGATGGTTACATTGCTGCAGGTCTGTCAACTTCCTCCAATCAGGTATGACACGTCCTTCCTTTTGTTTTAAACCTCCAAAGTTGCAACATGGCCTCATTTTAAATGAAAATACTATGACATCTAAACCAGAGCCCCTAAAAGGAAGTTTTTACGAGTACCATCCTTGTTTCTTGGTTTTACACAACAGGCTGACAGCCATCAAGCCTACATTTGTGCGAATCACAACGGTGCTGTGAGATTCTTCACTGGCACGCTCAACAACTTCGTGGTGAACTTGGCTTCGGTAAGTTCATGAGAACAGTGGTGGGTAAAAGTTATTTAGCTTCCCTTACTGTGAAAACACGATGAAGTCTGACAATTTTTGTAGTTTCATACCTTCTTCATTTTTACTGTAAATTATTAATCTCTGTTCTCTCGACCAGCTGGATGCAAGCACCGTGAAGGGTAAAGTCAGTTCAGGCAAAATCCAGTGTACATTTTCAGCTACACTACCAAACACCACCACACGAGCAGCAGGTTACTCACTGTCTGTTTCATCTGGAAGTTACAATCCTGGTAAGCACCACCCAAAGCACTCATAACTAGGGCTGTCAAGATCTGACCATGTAGTCGGAAATCAGTCCCTCATGTGGCTTCAGACTCGATCGGAATCTGATGTTACCTTCTGATCCAGACTCGGATATAGAGTTCAAATTACGGGGAGCTAAGGGAAACCTGGTTCCCCTGTGATGGGCTCCCCTAGAAGCCCTCAACTTAACACACCCAGAGGGACCCAAAATAAGACCCAGTTTCTACCTGTATTACATTATTTATATGGACTAGAGGCAGAGTGCTTATTATTAACGGGCTCCAGGCAGCTGTGTCCTGTGCTCAGTCACAGTAACATTCTCAAAGTGGCACCACCCAAAAAATATGAACACACATTCGTTCATGTGCGCTCATTTGCTCTGTCTGCAATTCGTGCCCGACATGCTCCGCTTCAGTGGAGCTCGTCACCCATGCAAATACAAAGTAAAGGAACATCCTGGATCAGTTTCTTCACTTTCTTTATTCTTTTTTCATGTATTGGAAGTTTCGGGTCGGGACTTGGTATCGGCAGATTCTCAAAATCAAATGACTCGGACTCGAGGGCTAAAAACCTGATTGGGACATCCCTACTGACGACATTTGGCAGAGATCCAGAATCACATAGAAAACCTCTCATGTTGCAGATCAGTAAAATTTTAGTCTTTTTCATGATTTTTTTCAGCTACAGGAGGGTTTGGCAATACATCCTTCAGGATTCAGACTCCTGTTGTAAACCTGTCAGATCCCAGCACCACTATCTCTAATCTGATTAATAACACCAACTCTACTAGTGGTGCTTTTCCAGTTGTGCACCAGCAGTCTCTAATGATGCCAGGTAAGCATCAGACAGATCTTTTTTTCCTAATCTGCATGAAACACATTTTTTATTTTTGGTTCATTCTCATCTCCTTTCTTGACCCACAGTTCTGCTGCTCATCGTGACATCCCTGGCCTTCACCATGCAGTAAAATATCCCGACTTTCTCACTGGAATTTCCCAACTGTTGCAGAAAGAGAAGGTTTAGGTTCTCATACATGGTGGTACGTTCCAGGCAGGATTCACTTAGTCCCGACTCACCAAAGTAACTTAAGATGGTCACGCTATCTATCTATAAATCTGAAAACATCATGTTTAATCAACTATCCACAAACCAAACTGCTGGATTTCTGTTCTGCGAAAAAGAAATGATAATGTTGAAAATGCATAAATATAGAGCAAAAATGAGAAGTGCTACAGTTCACTGTAACTTTTGTTTTAAAGGTCTGGTTACCTGATAGGCCTTATTAAAATGCATAATGTCAAAGTCAGTTTTATACAGTAATTGGTAACAAGGGTTGCTCCCCAGAGCTTTACAGCTAACGATGATGAGGGTGAACAAGAATTAGTTATGTGGAATTGAAAATCCTAACACACTATTTTTCTTATGGTTTGATATTGCGATATAAAACGAAATAAAAAAAATCATTATTTTTGAATGTTTATTTTTTCCTGGTACTTTTGGTGATATCTGATCAGTTTTGATTTTACATCACTACATGAGGAAAGGTCAAGAAGAGAAACAGGCTGTCAGATTTGACTAGAGTAGGTCAGTGAGTGGAAGTAGATGGTTTTTGTAAAATGTGTTTTGCTTCTTATTCTCGTCACTTAAAAAGCTAATGATTTAATGTCTGTTGTTGTTTATTTACAAGTTTACAAGTAAGAAAAATGTCTGATTTCCTCTACTGTCACTAATTCTTGTACTGTTGATTATTTTATAATATCAAGTCTTCATTGACTGATTTTATTGATGTTTAGATGATAATGTGAGACTAATTAACCCTTTGATGCATGAATTATGAAATCGTCAACCATGATTTTTTAAACAATTTTTTTCATTCATCTTTAGGTGTGAACGAAACAATTTTCATATTTACATATTTTTTGTAAAATTTAATTTACAAATAATTTATTACATGTCCACCTCAGTGGACAGTGTGCAATCTGAACATGAAACATGTTGGCTTGACTTACTGAAGTACAGATGGAGGGGTTCAAATGCAATAAAGTCTTCAACAGCTGTGCTTAATAGCAAAAATAAATAAATAACAATTTTAAGTACCTGTCCACTGTAGTGACCATTATGCATCAAAGGGTTAAGGTTACTACCCACATTTTAAATATAAAAACCTCTATTTTAATAAATGTTTAAAAGTACTTGTATGAATGTTTTTATTTAATTTGTAGAATGCTCCTATAAGTTTGTTCATAACTCGATTCCATTGCTGTACAAAACATGTAAACACAGGTCACTTTTAACACTTTTATTTATGTCAGATCAGAAAATCATTTAAAAAGTTTTTTAAACAGCAATTCTAAAAATAACACAATCCACAATTATATATATTTTTGTGGTTCTTGGATCTGCTCTGTGGTTTTTATGGATTTTGGGAGGTGGGTCTGTGGACCTTCACACTCTCAATTGGACACACCGGTGGAGAAATCAAAAGTGTGTACACACACACACACACACACACGCACACGCGCACGCACACGCACACACACAGGAGTTTCCAAGGTGTTCTCACAAGTATGGACTGTGTAAGTAAGTAAATTGTATTTAGTGTAAATAGCACTTATCACAGACATAGAATCACAAAGTGCTTCACATAGATAAAAACTAAACAAATCATAAAATCATAATGATCTTAAAACAGAAATAGATTAAAATCAGAACAACAAAATCATAAGATTATAAAATATCGTAAAACAATTTTGAGTTAAAAATAAGAAAATAAAAGATTTAGGTAAAAGCAGCTTTAAATATAAGGGTCTTTAGGTGTTTTTTAAAAGTGTCCAGACTCTCAATGCTACGTAAGTCGGGGTGCAACAGTCTGGAAAGAGCGATCACCTCGACTTTTATATCTGGTCTATGGAACTTCTCGAAGGTTCTGGTGTGTGGACCTGAGGGCTCGGTTTAGAGCATACGGCTTTAATGGTTCAGTAATATAATACAGGGAGGAGCTTGACCATGTAGAGCATTTAGACTAATATGGATTCTAAAGTTAACGGGTAACTAGTGCAGAGGCATCAGAATAGGAGTGATGTGAGCTCTTCTGTTTGCTCCAGTTAGGAGCCTTGCTGCAGAGTTCTGGACCAACTGAGGCGTTCAAGGGCTTTTTGTTAAAACATGTGAAGAGTGTGTTACAGTAATCTAGTCGGGAGGAGATAAATGCATGGATAACCATTTCAAGTTCATGTTCTGACACCAACCTTCACCGTTTGGAGATATTTCTTAAGTGATTAAAAACAGTTTCAGACCAATGTTTGTGAGTGGCCTTCAAGAGACATTGATTGGTCATAACAACACCCAAATTCCTCAAGTTTGTGTTGACGGCAGAGGAGAAATTTTCAAGTTTTAGACTAATCAGGTGTAAGGTTATGAAGTTCATGGTTTTCAACTCCATACAGCTGGCCCCTGGGCACAATAACACCGTGTAGAAAAACCAAGGTCGGGTTGTTCCTCAGACTGTTTACATTCCAGGAGAAGAGTCCGAAGGAGAAGAAGAAGCTTTACCTAATCAAAGTACTTTATTTGTGATTAAAATTATTAAGCAAAACAGATGTTGATCAACAATAATCAAGTGAATGATCTGTGAAATAAATATGTCATGAATTATGTTTAATGAAACCAGGACTACGGTGCAGACATACTGATCCTCATCTCCATACAAACGCATGACACATTGTTCCAACCAATCAGAGCTTTCGGCTGCCGCAGGAGAATCTGGTGTTGACTTCAAGTGTCCAATCTACTTTACTGAAACTTATCAACAATTCAGAGATATAAAACAAGGCAACGCCATTTTAAGTCAGTTCCATTTTGACTTCAGTTCTATTCACCATCATCCTAAAGACAAGCGCAGCCTGGCCGGATGCGTTTTCTTTAAACTAAGAACTGTGAAACGGGAGATTTTCGTCGTTTAACAACCAGACGACGTCCTTTCAAAATAAGAGCAACTGCTGACGCTGCTGAATCGTACCGGGCCGACCCTCCAGACGGGTTTTGAAACGTTGTGACCGCTGCACCGACAGCTCCATCGTACATCCGAGGTTTCCAGACCTGGCAATTCCTGATCTACTTGGGAGACCCCACTGGGTACGTACACGGCAAAATAGCGACTCATGTCATCACTTTATAAGCCTCGTGATATCTAGTCATAATAACGACGACCAGATTCGATTACGTCATCCTAGAGAATCTGAACCAGACACACACACACACACACACACACGCACCAACACAACATCCGAATCCATCCTCATCCATCACAGAGTAGTCCTGGTAGATTGTTTAGAATTCATAATTCAGAAATTAAAGATTCTCAAACGATCTCATATCTCTCTCTTTTCTTGTCTCAAAGTCAATACAGAGTGTTTAATTAAACTCCCTGATGATAAAAACAGCCTATTCTTCTGTTTATAAAAAGTGAACTACTAACAGTGTATTAAAATACAACCTTAGATAGTTACATCACTTTGATTCCGTTACACAGGGGAACCGTGCTCTCAGGGGCAACTGTGATGTTTTACACATTACCTTGGGGTGTGGTTGTCACTAAATGCACAATGAAGTAATTATTACTGTGTGCTTTTCACTAAACATTGTTATTTTTATGTGTCCTTATGTCATAGGTGCCGTGATATCTTGCTTCTCTTGTCGTTTTGTGTGTCTCTCTCTCTACTCTACTCCCTTTCTCACACTTAAAACAATTGTGACAGTTTCACCCCCACCCCCACCACACACACACACACACACACACACACACACACACACACTCATACATATAACACATTAAAAGGCCAAAGTAAACACTAGACTGAGCTCAGATTGGACAGCTAATGAAAGACGCCATCAAGGGAGCCATCTGCCTCGACAGCAGCAGATCGACGGCGGCAGCCAAGACACCAATCCAGGGCGCCCTGGGAGGGAGGGTGGCAACCCCCACCACTACCTGGACACTACCCTAGCAGCGCCCCAGCCGCCGCCACCGACCACCAGTCCCGAGGCAGAGGGCTCCACAGAGGAAACACTGGAAGGATTAAAATACGTGACATGTAAAATAACAAGAGCTAACATGGAAAAAATGTATGATGTAAAATATCCAATAAAATGTGATTATACAAATAAAACAAAAGAAATGTGTAACATAACAGTAATTAAAAATAAATGAATAAGTCAAACAAGCAATGCAATAAATAGTAATCAGTTAAAAGCTAAACTAAAAAGGGTGGATCTTGAGCCTGATCGTAAAAACATGAACATTTTCTGCTACCCTGAGATCCTCCGGCAGCCCGTTCCAGAGGCGAGGGCTGTAATAACTAAAAGACGCCTCGCCGTGAGTATGTGTCCTGACTTTAGGAATGACTAGGAGACGGCTGCCAGAGGAGTGCAGGGACCGCGAGGGTTCATATGGTAAAAGCAGTTGTGAGAGATAAAACGGGCTAAGAGCATTAAGACACTTAAAAACCATTAAGAGTATCTTAAAATCGATCCTGAAACATACGGGGAGCCAATGCAATGATTCTAAAACCGGAGTGATGTGCTCCCGCTTCCTGGTCTTCGTCAGGACACGAGCTGCTGAGTTTTGTAAAAGTTGTAGACCTGAAGTTCTCTTTTTAGGAAGACCAGAAAGCAGGGCGTTGCAGTAGTCTATCCTACTGGTGATAAAAGCATGCATCAGTGTCTCCATATTGGCCTGAGAGACAATGGGGCGGACTCTGGCGATGTTCTTGAGATGATAACAACCTATTTTAGTAACGTTTTTAATGTGGGGGATAAAAGTCAGCTCAGAGTCGAAAATCACGCCCAGGTTCTTCACTTGTGAAGATGGATTAAAATACATTCATTGTAGTTTTGGTAAAAAGTTTCTCTCTCTGGGCCTCAGGACCGATGACTAAAACTTCAGTTTTGTCCCGGTTGAGCTTCTCCCTATTTTCTCTTTCATTTCTGTCTTCATGTCCATTGGGGTTAAAAATAACAAAAAGCATTTGAATTAAATATTTACATCAGGCAGGGCATCATAAGGCTTGTTTATGGCACTCAAAAATCTATTTAAAATGCTTTACAGCCAGACAGGACAGACAGGACACACACACACACACAACGTAAACTGTCTGGGTAACAGCAGCTAGTAACGAAAAACCGCACTTTAGGGCAACGGTAACTGTGTTACTTTATTTAAAAAGTAACTCATTACATTAATAGTTACTGGTAAAAGTAGCGGCGTATGAATTCAATTCAATTCAAAGATATTTTATTAATCCCAGAGGGATGAATATTAATGAGTAAGACTCCAAACTTTTACTTCCTGAAACAGGAACGCCAAAGAGCTTTTTCCACACAAAACGTCTCACAAGGCATTGATTCATACTAGAGACCACAGCTGATTTATTGAAAAAAATTGGAAATGAGAGTTTTAAAAGGTTCAGCTTGTAGCCTTGTACAGGTTTCATTTAACCTTCTGTTTCTTCCTAGAAATATTTATTTATCCCTATTGCTTACTGAAATGACAGATCTGTTGGCAGTTATACACTCAACAAAAATATAAACGCAACACCTTTGTTTCTTCTCCGATTTTTCATGAGATGGACTTAAAGATCTAAAATTCATTCCAGATACACAATATTACCATTTCTCTCAAACAATGTTCACAAATCAGTCTAAATGTGTGATAGTGAGCACCTGTGCTTTGCTGAGATAATCCATCCCACCTCACAGGTGTGCCACATCAAGATGCTGATCTGTCTTCATGAGTAGTGCACAGGGGTACCTTATACTGCCCACAATAAAAGGCCATCCTGGAATGTGCCGTTTTTTTTTGCTGTATTGGGGTCTGGGGACTCGGAACCAGTTAGTATCTGGGGTGACCACCATTTACCTCATGCAGTGCAACACATCTTCTTTGCATAGAGTTGATCAGATTGTCAATTGTGGCCTGTGGAATGTTGGTCCACTCTTCTTCAATAGCTGTACGAAGTTGTTGGATATTAGTAGGAACTGGTACACACTGTCGTATACGCCGGTCAAGCACATCCCAAGCATGCTCAACGGGTGACATGTCCGGTGAGTTTGCTGGCCATGCAAGAACTGGGACATTTTCAGCTTCCAAGAATTGTGTACAGATCCTTGCAACATGGGGCCGTGCATTATCTTGCTGAAACATGAGATGATGTTCATGGATGTACGGCATAACAATGGGCCTCAGGATCTCATCACGGTATCTCTGTGCATTCTAAATGCCATCAATAAAATGCACCTGTGTTCTTCGTCCATAACAGATGCCTGCCCATACCACAACCCCACCACCACCATGGGCCACTCGATCCACAACATTGACATCAGCAAAGCGCTCACCCACACAACACCACACACGCTGTCTGCCATCTGCACTGGACAATGTAAACCAAGATTCATCCGTGAAGAGAACACCTCTCCAACGTGCCAGACGCCATCGAATGTGAGCATTTGCCCACTCAAGTCTTTTACGGCGACGAGCTGGAGTCAGGTCAAGACCCCGATGAGGATGACAGGCATGCAGCTGAGCTTCCCTGAGACGGTTTCTGACAGTTTGTGCAGAAATTGTTTGGTTATGCAAACCAATTGTTTCAGCAGCTGTCTGAGTGGCTGGTCTCAGACGATCTTGGAGGTGAACCTGCTGGATGTGGAGGTCCTGGGCTGGTGTGGTTACACGTCATCTGCGGTTGTGAAGCCGGTTGGATGTACTGCCATTTTCTCTGAAACACCTTTGGAGATGGCTTATGGTGGAGAGATGAACATTCAATGCACGAGCAACAGATCTGGTTGACATTCCTACTGTCAGCATGCCAATTGCACGCTCCCTCATTGCTTGTGGCATCTGTGGCATTTTGCTGTGAGACAAAACTGCACATTCCAGGGTGGCCTTTTATTGTGGGCAGTATAAGGTACACCTGTGCACTACTCATGATGTCGGATCAGCATTGATGTGGCACACTTGTGAGGTGGGATGGATTATCTCAGCAAAGCTGAAGTACTCATTATCACACATTTAGACTGATTTGTGAACAATGTTTAAGAGAAATGGTAATATTGTGTATCTGGAATGAATTTTAGATCTTTTAAGTCCATCTCATGAAAAATCAGAGCAGAAACAAAAGTGTTGCCTTTATATTTTTGTTGACTGTAAAAAAGCACAAGAGGCATAGCGACTTTCTGAAAATCAAACTCATCAAAACATTTTGTTTATTAACTAATCAGATACTTTCAGATAATGAAATACA